ACTCATCAGGGAAACGGGTGGGAGAAGACAAATCATTAGTGAGACAATCTCGGAAAAAAATGGCACTATAATTAGCTCCCAGGATAGACGACTGGATCGTTGGAAAGAGCATTATGAGGAGCAGTTTAATTTGCCCACAGCCACGCTCAACCTTCCGAGCATCCAACACCTCCCTGAATGGGATATAGACACAGGTCCTCCGTCACTAACTGAGGTTACTAAAGCTGTCACCAATCTGAAACTAGGCAAAGCAGCGGGACCTGATGGAATGACTCCAGAGGTATTTAAGTACGGTGGAGACAGCTTACTGTCTGGATTAACTGAGGTACTAGGCAGCGTCTGGGAATCAGAAGAAGTCCCATCGGGTTGGTGTAAGTCACTGATTATCCCCATATACAAGAAGGGAGACAAGTCTTCCTGTGATAATCACAGAGGGATTAGCTTGACTAATATAGTATCTAAAGTCTTAGGCTCAATAATCATGCGTAGACTGAGTGGTGCTCGGGAAGCACAAACACGAGAGAGCCAGGCAGGCTTTAGACCAGGAAGAGGGTGTATTGATCATATCTTCACCCTCCGACAGATTCTAGAACATAGGCATTCCTACCGGCGTCCAACAGTCATTATATTTCTTGACCTAAAGGCAGCATTCGACTCTGTCGATCGGGAAGTTCTCTGGAGATGCTTGGCTGTAAAGGGAATTCCGAGAAAATATATTGCACTGATTAAGGCACTCTACTCGTACTCATACAGCCAGGTGAGGGCTTACGGCGAGCTGTCATCTGAACTGATGACGACCAGTGGTGTCCGTCAAGGATGCCCATTATCTCCTTTTCTATTCAACTTCATCATAGATGTGTTAATGGACTTAACCCTAGGTGACTTCAGCGACTCAGGGATTGACTTGCTACCGGGGGGAATAATCTCGTTGACTTGGAATATGCAGACGATATAGTCCTTCTAGGCGAAGACGCTGACGAAATGCAGAGTCTTCTAAACACCTTGAGCCGCAATCTACGAATGTTTGGCATGCGATTCGCTCCCGCCAAATGCAAGATGATGTTACAGGACTGGACTACATCGACGCCTAGTTTAAAAATAGGAAGTGAAGTGGTAGAGCACGTTGACCGCTTCACTTATTTGGGAAGTACCATCAGCCACAACGGGTTGATCTCTGACGAAATCTCAGCACGAATACAGGGGGCTCGTTTCGCATTTGTTAGTTTACGCCGACTCTGGCGTAGACGAGATGTTCGACTATCGACCAAAGGGCGGGTGTACTGCTCATCAGTCCGCTCCGTCCTCCTTTATGGTTGTGAGACCTGGCCACTGAGAGTGGAAGACATGAAAAGACTAGCTGTCTTTGATCATAGGTGCCTGCGTTCTATTTCCCGTGTAAAGTGGCATAATAAGGTGAGCAACATGGAGGTTAGGCGTAGAGTTCTAGGTAAACAGGGGAAATCAATCGACGAAGTCGTGAAGCTACAAAGACTGAGATGGTTAGGACATGTGTTACGTATGCCAAGCCATCGCCTCCCTCGACGAGCAATGTTAGCGGATATAGGGTCAGGCTGGAAAAAAGCTAGCGGCGGTCAAACAAAAACTTGGCATCAGTCAATGAAATCCACAACAGTTGGTCTAAGCCACGTAGGAAGGTGTAGACTTCCAGGCTGGGGTCCTCGGGACGGTAAAAATCTATGGTTGGAAACAATTGGTGACATGGCTCAAAATCGTTCTCAGTGGCGCAGATGCATCCACTCCTTGTGACTTATGATCTCCAATGAAACTGTTTTGTTCTTCGTTATTACTCCTTTGTCTCACACCTCTGCTCACTGTTTCTATTATGCTTTTCTTGTACTTTCTTCTCTTGCTTCGCGTGCTACACGGAGTGTGGCGACTTGAACTTCCGCACATTTGTGCAAAGTTCTATGTCGAAAACAGGCAGACAGACATCCAAGTCAAGTGAGACTCAACTTTCTTGAAATGGGATAAAGGAGCTCTCTCTATTTTTCTTCATATTGATTATCAGCTTGTAACCAGTTAGCGAAACAATGAAACCTACAGAACAACATTTCTAACATGTCCAAACAACCAATATTCGTCTTATGCAGTCACTCTCTGCCGGGCTACCCACATGACATCGCCATCGAACTAAGGCAATCTTACGGAGACAGAGATTATGCAATTTGCGATGTCGTCGGACATACATAACTTAACGACATTTTTAGTACGTGTAGGGAACAACTGTATACAAATAAACGTTTTACTATTGTCATAATACAGACAACCCAGAATGATGACATCACAGGATGTGGCTCAAACTGATGTACGGTGAACTAGAAATAATCACGACGACTCCACAAGCGCTCACGTAAAACCTGCTTGGAGAAAATGAGAGCAGGAAACTCAGTGGCTCGCAACAGGTCCTCCATGTTTCAGCCCATAAACCATACTTATTGTGCATGTGTGTGTTGCCCAAACTGAAATAGGTGAAGCTGTGGGAATTCGAAAGCGGCATTCATAGACTGAAGGTCTAGCACTTCAGCTAATGAACGGGAAATGGGAAGAGAATCATAATAACGACTAGAAATTATACATAAAAACTTCATACGGCGGAACCATTTGACGTAAGATAAAATTTGAACTTAGATGATAATGCGTGTACACAGATATTCAACCTAAGAATACCACTCAGGTCATGTTTTAAGGTAGGCCGACAGTATTCGGACCAACAATTTTAAGAAGACAGACATGCTTGTCGATGCACAATACTTGTCACAGGGATCAGTTTTAACGACGTAAATGAACGACAATACAACTATGTATTAGAAATCTCAAACAGTGATCTATAACGGCCACGTTTTGTTCGGGATATGTAGGTAATATCACAACGAAGCATAAAAACTATTCAACTCTTATTTTACCGCACTTACAAGAAAGTAGTGGCATAAAACTGTATTTTTCACAAACACTAGTCAACCCTAGTTTTTTGCAGTGAAGAAATTCAATTCGATTCATGAAAGCCAAAATTCCCAGTCTAAAATACCTCCGTTATCAGAAACAAACAGTTTTTTTCAGTGAATGCGAAGCAAGTATCTCCATACTTTTTTTTAGATGACTTTGCATTCTATTCTAGCAATTAAATTTTGGTCAACATACGAGGTTTAAAATATCATTTTGCTTGAGAATTTGTAAATTCTTAACTTATGCTATATTTTTAGATTAGAACACCTTTAGTCGATAAAATCAACCGACCATCAGAGAGTAATATACTTTCAATATCCTTCTACTGTGTGAGTTGGTGGCACAGAGGTAGAATACTCACCTGTCATTCATGTGTTCTGGGGTTCGATCTCCTGCTGATGTACTCCTCAACCTCGATAAGCTGGTTATAAACGGGGCAAAGAGAGAAGGTCATACGTGAGACTAGCAACCGCATCTCGTACAAACAGAAACCACTGCTGACGAAACTTCAAAGCCCAAGTGTGGTGCCCTATATTCCACTGGGTCGAACAGACTGCTTTTAGTAAAACTACGCAAGTCATAAGTTATCTCTTACATTGAATAATAACGTGCACCACTTCCAGTGACATGATAATTGTAAAGAAAGTTTTAACAAATACTAGTGTCGTATTGCTCTCCGAAGATGATTATGTGACTAGGTAACTGTATGCTATAATGTATCTATCATTTTAGATAAATTCTACACCTATTCTAACTACTTATATAATTACAAATGCTGATTTCGATGACCTGTATAATTAAGAAGATGCATACATTATGCATGATTGTTCAATTCTCGCGCACAAATACTCTCTTATACAACAATACATAGTACATTACCTAAAATCTGTGCATTTTTGTAGTAGTTTAAATGTGTTCGTTACAAGGGAGGGAGGGATAAGTGCAAACTACAACAATGTAAAAATCAAAAATCCACAGTATTATTGAGCTTAAGCTGGTATATGAAAGACGTCGGTGTATGCAAGGAGACAATTTTATGCACCCAGGATTGAGATATTTGTCAATAGTAATTCATCAAGAGTAAAGCTTAGATTTACTCAACTTAGTGAAAGGCTCGAACTGCTAAAAATCACATACATATGATAGTCATGAAGTTTCGACTGTCGGGTCAACCCCCCCCCCTCTAAACTCCCGATGCCCTTTTATCTCTGTTCATAATCAAGCTGCTTAAATACACTTCTATACGGAGAACTTTGGTATGAACCCTTTATATTGCAATCGACAGACCAATCAAGCGGTTATTCCTCCATTGTGTAACAAAAGAATGTGTTGTTTAAGCACAACTATCCAAAAGAGACTTTTCGTGTACCATCAGGCTAAGAGCCTCACTTATCATGTGAAGACTGATAATACAATCCAGTTACTCATGCTGAAGTAAATGGAGAGGAATACAAACCAGTGACCCACTGATCAAAAACCGAGTACTTAGCCCAATGAATCACATCTCCAATAACAAAAGTAGTTACCTTGTATTGACTGACAAATATAAGTTAGAGTCATTCATACCAACCAATCCCCCAGAGGAATACGACCTAAACACTGACCAGCAGAGGTCCTTCCACTCAAAGAGTAGAATTCTTTACAAACCAAGGCGGCAAACTGACCAACTACTGTCACATAACTGTGTTGCGCAAGATTCCTACTCCTCGATAAGATCCCGCCGTAATATGCCTCTGAAACACAAAATCAAGTCACCTTAACTGCGACTTGAAATCTCCTTGATGGCGTACACAGGTTAGATAGACGGGAATTTCTCATGGAGTCGTTTCGATTTAGAAAAACTGTGGCCTTAAAAATACCCCTTTTATAATACAATGCGTCACTCTGACATCTTATATTCACAGATATGCATACCATACGGAATATATGCATAGTAGTTACACTATATCAACATCTAACAACAACTCAAATGCTCATCAAAGAAAAAAAAAGGGAGACGAAAAAACGCTGGGGTATCAATAATCAATCGGACAAGATGTATTGTATAACTTTTCACCTTGTATAAACACACTTTACTCTAAGGATTAGGCTTGTGTAAGTCCATAGTATATATATTATATATGCATACGTATTTATGTATATACAAGAGATTTGTATGAACATTACAGGAAAACAAGAAAAGAAGTGGGTGGCTGGCTAGGTGGTGGTGATGCAAACACTACACACAAATGGAGGAAAGATATTTGCGAGCAAGGTGAATTCAGAAGGCGATCAGATTATGAGAGAGAGAGAAAGAATAGAAAACAGGGGGAAAATGGAAGTGAAAATAGGACAGAAATGAATAGTCTCTTAAAGAAAATAAAAGAACATGTGAAAGGATAGTGGATAATTACAATAAAGGATGTAAACAATGCGATGGAATCACACCTTAATCTTAAGATGCGGTTGTAATTTTCATGATAATCATAATAATACAATAATAATAATAGTAATAATAATAATAAGAGGAAGAAGTAGGGATTGAGGAGGAAGCTAGCCGGTCTACACATCTGTTTTTGGTTAACAAACATTTTTTTTGTACAAGCACATAGAGTGTGAACAAATCGTTGAAGGAATAGTAAAATAAACAAATACATAAACAGTTATTTAATATATTTATTCACTAAAGACAAATCACAGTCATTTGAACCAAGGTTGGACGTTGTATTCAATGTTCCTATAGTCGTGATAATATTGATTGATAATTGTGAGAATAACAATAGCAGTGATAATATAAAGAGAGTCAAGGTAATACCGACAAATATTCTCGTTGTCTGTGTGTGTGTGTGTGTATGTGGTTCAGCAATAATGTATACACAATTTACTTTATGTTTTCTCAGACAATAATTAAGTTAACTTAACAGTGTCATTGGTCTGTTTTGCCTTTTTGTGGTACTTTCTGAAGAATGAATTCTGTCAATAAGAGTGTAATGCGTATATATATATATATATATAACTAATTAGAGAAAGAAACAGGAATCCTATAATATAGGGACAGACACAGATGTGTGTATCAGACGACAAGTTCTAAATGAACAATTGAATTGAATTGAATCGAACTGGAAGAGTGAAGATGAGATACACCGAAGAAGGCATTAAATTGAACAGCAGGAATTAAACAAAAAACAATGAAGTGAAATCACGTTCCCATACAGCCTGATTATTATTATTACTATTATTACTAGCCTTATTGGCTTTTTTAGACACTTTTGTTGCAGAATTACCAATACCAACAATACTATTAGAAATAGATGAATTGATATTTGTATTAATTTGTTCTGGTGTTAATTTATTGCCTGATTCATGTAAAAAGAGAGGATTACTTTCACGTCCTTGAATCTTTTTTGGTCCATTCAACATGACATCGTGTGGATATAATTCATAGGAGATATCATCAAAAACTTCAGCCATATGTGCTCGTACTGAATGTGCCTAGTAGAAATTGAGGACAAAAGAAATAAAGAGAAAGAAATTCAGCCTTAAGTACTGTTCAACACCACGAATATCGTGATTCACTCTGAACAAAATATATATAGACATATTTGTCACAATATGCAGGTGGCGGGGGGCTGTGATAAAGGGACAGATTATCACTTCTCACCACTCGACCTGAACTCCTATCGGAGATAGCGATTCGTTTTTATGTTAACACTATCAAAATTTTCATATATATATATATATATATATATATATATATATATATATATATATATATATACGTTCACAAGTCATTCACAAAGAGAAGTTAGCAGTGGTAGTTAGCCTCCTGTAGTCCTGTCTCAAAATGATTCCTAGTAAAATTATCAATCAGTGAAGCTTTGAATCAATAAGAAATAACAACTGTAACTGATTGACTCAAGCAAGCATTACTGAATGATTGACAAATCAGTGTAGAAATTTATGCAAACGTGCATCGATACAATTTGCAGTGTTTATAAACGGAACACAAAAAACACAAGCACGCACACATGAGAACGGAAATGTAGCAATGCAATGATGAATTAATATAAGTGTTAGCAAGAAAAGAATCTAGTACAGACACCAGGGGAGATTTACGGAATATAACAGATGAAGAGAAATGAGCACATCTGCGCCACTGCCATCGCGATTTGGCATCCTGAGCACACCAGATGCTTATAGTCTACCCTTCCTTCTAAGGTATACGGTCAAAACACTTCCTTGAACAATACTATATTTTGGTATAACCACCTCTAACACTTTTCTATATCAGTTACCATTGTTTACTAAGGAAGACACAGATGCAGGCTGTGGATATCTTAACAGTTTTACAGTCTTTAGAAGACATGCGTATTCACAATAGCAGTGTGTGTTAGTGTCCCACAGCTAGTCAGTCAGTTGTCTGATGTCAAAAATTAATAGTTCATTTTTAAATGTGCACACACACCGAAACAATATCGATTAACCTTTAATTAAACTATTTTTCTGTTATTCTTCTAATATGAGTAATTTATTCATTCAATTATTATCATGTGTACTGATTAAATTCACATTCTCATCAAGGTAGTGTGTGTTTCGAAATGTAGTCTCACAAGTTGTGATTCACTTCTGTGCCAAAGTCAAAGTTGATGTGTTAAATTAACTTTTTTTTTTATATATTTTTTTGATTTACAGCTTGATTCCACACTGTATTTTTGGTAGAAGTATGGATATCGGTAGCCCAAATTTTGCAGGCCGACCATAGATATCAGGTGTGCATCGGCGGGGGATCGAACCTCGGACCATGTGCATGGTCGGCGAGAGTCCTAACCACTGTGTCACCTATAGTCAGTGGCTTTCAATCAATTGCGAAATGCATAAGTTTAACAAAATTGTCTTTCACTTTTCAAGGCATATTTGCTTTAGAGCGATGTAGACGAACGATGTCTCAGTGTAAGAACAATATACTTATGTAAGTAAGTATTTAATTACTATTCAACCAACATACACATTACGCACAATAACAGGAATATTTTCAGGTGTCTACTTAAAGAGATTTGGTCACCATCCTACTGAGATATCAGTCATTTCATCCTGGTCAGGACACTTCATCAGTATATACCCATGACTCTACCGGGGAGGACCTTCATGGTCACAAGGTGATCTCATTGGGACCATTCTCCCAGTGGAACGGAATCCAATGACCAATTAATTCTAACTTTGGTCAATTCAAAGGGGTTCTTTCTCTAGGTGATATAAACCCGTGATAAAACTTGTAACGGGACTATAGTAGAAAAATGAATGTACACGAGTACAAACAGCCGTCTGCCTGTCATCACCACATTTTGAAAAGAAAAAAAAACAACAACATCATTTATACACAGATAAGTACACATGTGCTGCTATGGATAAATACTTACTTTTTCACGTTGTTGAGCACAGATTTCATTGAATTCAGATGGATTAAAACCTCCAACTAGTAGACGATCATCTTCACGGAGTTTAGGCACTTTTTGAGGTTCTTCAGCTACATTCACACACACACACACAAACACGTAGACATAAAGACAATTGGTGAGAAGTACAGATGAACAGATGAATTAACAGGTAATCATACATACGCGTATTCAGATTTTGGGTTTCGTAGAGATTTTAATTAATTCGAATGTAGATTTTCTCCATGTACCATATCACGTGCAATGCTACTGGTTGGTGGTAGCAACACGTTATAACGCGAATTTACAGTAGTATTAAAAGTCGTGAGTCATTGGAATTCCATTCCGATTAAGAGGATAAGCTCTTTTAACCTGAAAACCCATGCCTCCAATCTCTTGTGGGATTTCCTGTGTGTACTATTAAAGGGTATCACAGTAGGGTATAATATCCATCCAGAGTTCCGTCGTCTTTAATGACTTTCTAACTGACTTTAGTTTGTGACAAAATCTACACCCATGTATATATATATATATATATATATATATAATTATTTTTTCCATTATGTTCAGTACTATCTCTGTTACGTGGTTTAATTGAAACATTTTTGCAAAGAAATAATGTATACTAAACGCTTTTCAGAATAAAAGCTAAATTGAAAATTTTCTACCGTTCGCTAAATAAGCCAAATGGACAAGTAATTTTAAGGGAACGCAATACACCTAGACAGATATGATGAAATATGAATAAGTTTGCAATATTTAATCCAATGGACTTTGAGATACACTGTCAGTCTCAGATAATCTGGTTGATGTCCATAGGAATTCAATATTCGTATAGTTGACGGTATATTAAAAATGTGCGCCACCTGCACAGGCTTGAAAGTTAGATAGTATCACAACACTTTACGAAACAGGGTTGACTAATCACCGAGTGCTTTGGCATAGAATAATCTGTTGATTGCTATCTCAATCAAACCATTAGTTTTAAACAAAAACTCCGAACCGGCTTCAACACATTTGCTTGAAACTGTTAGCGATCCAGTTCAGAAGAGATGAGAAACTTCCCTTGTGCGTCGGTGGCACAGTGGTTAGGACTCTCGTCGACCATGCACATGGTCCGAGGTTCGATCCCCCGCCGACGCACACCTGATATCTACGGTCGGCCTGCAAAAGTTGGGCTACCGATATCCATGCTGAAAATTCCAAAAATACGGTGTGGAATCAAGCTGTAAATAAAAAATAAATAACTTGTACCCCAAAGCGTTCTTATAATTGATATTCCCGAAATGAGTAGCTGAAAAAATACTAAGACAGGCGTGCACACACACACACACACACGAACAAATTCTCTGCATCGAGTAACAAACAAATTATTAGAGCTATGCTCACTCAGCACTGGATACTATTTGAGACAGTCACAATGCAAATGAAAACAAAGATTACAAATAGTTTAACTCATTTTAAGTCAATTTCACGTTGACTAATTAGACGACAATTTTCGGCCTTTCTTGGCTTGTCGGCTGTCAGTACGGACGCTTCAGCAATGTAGGAGAATTAACATGAAGTAGTTTCGTTGATGGCGTATAGCCATGAAATCCAGGATGAATATTTCTTCCTTATTTGTAACTCCTCATCTCGACAGGGTACCTGCGATCCCCAGCCAGTAATGGTGTTCGCAATCATTCAAAGAGGAAAATCAAAATCAACTTAAAACAGATATTAACTCTGATGCTCATTGCACAAGCCATGGCCCTCGTAATCTCAGTGGGCGAATGGATAAAGTTTTCAGGTCTCAAATGAAGCGTAGTCGATTCAAGTCTCCATGGGAACACCACCAGTCACTGGGAATTAAAAATATAGCAATCCAGATGATGAGTACCAAATAGGACGAAATGTGCTGGTCACTATTATAGCCTATTATAGAGAGAGTGCATATGTTTGCATGATATCAGAATGAATTTCACACTTTCATCAGTGAATGTAAGTGTACTGCTTAAATTGCTAATCTTTGCAATGCACACCTCGAATGAAATGGGGTATCGTTTTTCCAGGAAAAAAAGCGTACAAATACCGCAATAACAACAAATACATTAGTAGTCTATGTTAGATAATTTCAGGAAATAGCGTGAAACAATATTCTGGTTTCTTTCTCTTTCTTTCTCTCACACACACAAACACTGGTGGTAAGCCGAAGAAAAAAGAAAGTTACTACAGTCAACTGCTGAAACAATAACTTATATATGTGTGTATACACACGAATCAACATTTGAAGGTGTGGAATTTTTGGAAAAGAAAACGATAAAATTAAAAAAAAATTCAAACAGTGTGTAAACAAGGTATATATTTCTGTAATAAATTCTAAATTGAAAAACGAGCGTTAAGAGAAAGCGTGGAAATCAATATTCAACTCTCTTTCTCTCCCTCTCTGTTTATCTGCTCTGTGCTTATGTGATATATATATATATATAGCTAAAGTAAAGTGATATTTGATTGGAACTGTTAGATTTCGTCACGATCCAATATCAGTTAAAAAGATCGTTGAAAACCAGGGAGCAGTGAACAGCTCTCTCATCCTATTTCTGGGTCTCTTCATCAGTGCACACCCATGACCTCACACATGAGCTTCAGACTGAGGAGTTCCAGTTCAAAACGCTTCAGTTTTCAATGAAACCTAACAACTGGAAGTTGAATTAATGCAAATCTCATACTCTAAATCTCTCAATCTCCAGCTTATTGATGGTTACTAGATGAATGTCCTAGAGCTGCACTGGAAATTAGTGACTGGTAAAGTCTACCATGTGAGGGTAGCATTACATCATGAGCTGAATTCACGGTTAGTTGAATTCTGACCCAACAAGGTTGAATGGTCAAATTAGGATGGTCTCGTAACCTGAAGGCTCCAATTTCGATCCCTGGTAGGGTAATGAGTGAGGACTACTGGAGAGCCCGAGAAAAATACAACGAAACAGATGTCCGGTTTTTCAATGATCTCTCCGTAACTGATACTGGTTCACAAAGAAATCCGGGGTATCAAACCCCGGACCACATAGTGTGGTTAACGAGCACTCCTACCGCTGAACCACCGATGCCGCAAAATTCATACAATGATACACCAGCCATTGACTCGGCATTTATACACTGATTTCCAGGAGGACTGAACACGCCTATCCCCGCGTTTTGCGAGACGAAACCAGCATGCAGTATTATCCCATGGTGCAACCCACTCGACAGTCCTCTCCCTCAGTGGACCAATATTCACTAGTCGATAGAGACAAGTAAATATTTCTCATCGTGCTTATCAACTTAACTACTTTACACTGCAATCAAGTGACAAGACTACCACATATAACAATCCATATCACTCATACAATAGAAACAAAACAAGTCGTGAGTATTTTGTCAAAATGGTTAGACTGTGATGCATAGTAATTTAGAAAAAGCAGTCCCCACAGTATTATATTAGGGGACACATCATCGCTAGAACAAACAGGAATAAATAACCCAAATGTTATGTTCAACGCATGATCTTAGACGGACCAACAGATATGAAGACGTTAGCAACAATGCTAGTAGTAGATGAGTTCTCTGAGCAATGAAGGAGATGAAATTCACATCCAATATCTAAATAAGAGTTATCGTTATTTGAATAATGGCTTAGCTATTATATTAATCTGATACGCTTCACTTTCAATTGGTCTTTTTTTTTTGTATGTCACATCAGCATACTTTGTTCATGTACTTATAATTAGCCATAACGAAATAAGTAGGTGACTATTTACACCTATAACTGAGGGCAAGATCATTTTTGGGCGGAGAGAGAGAGAGAGTGGAAATAGAACACACTGACTAAACTATATCGTACTTTTGCCTTCAGCTTGGATGGTAGCAGAGAGGTGAACCAATAGGCTGAATGACTACATTTGTGTAAAATAAAATTCTTTTGATGTGTTCTCTAAGCTGCATGGATTGTTCAACTACAGATTACCTAAAAGTTAATTTTGTGTGTGTGTGTGTGTGTGTACAGAGAGAGAGAGAGATAGACAGACAGACAGACAGAAAAGCAATTTCGGTCACAAAAACACAACATTCCTCTCCTTTTTAATTTGATCAACTGATCTAACTGAAACATTTGTATGTATGCAGTTTGGCCTTTTTTGTGATGCCAAATTCTTTTTAATGAAACAGAATGTGTAAAATATCCACATTTAGTAGTACTAGTATAGCTAAGATTACTACTACTAGAGAGTTGACTCATAGCTATTCTCATGTGATTATCTCTTTCCTTCTCTGATTTTTTAGTCTACTCAAATATACAGTTCCGATATGTGACCTAGTCCACTAATCACAATAACACATGTAACATACAAAGGTGCTTTTCTTAACCTATACATTTTCCGTGCACACCACACATACACACACACAAACAGACAACACAGATATAGCATACACATAAATACACAGACGCTTACTAACAATATTTTGATAAATGTAAAGATATATACATATTAACACAGACAAAATGTGTTTGTATGTGTGCACAGTGTATGCTAGAGTCGAAGTCTGTGATTAGAACAACAACAATGGACTGGTTAATTCAGTAAGGTGAAAATGGCAGCAGATAAAAAAAAATATATAATGACTAACGCTTATGGACTGACTGGTTAAAATGACTATAGAGTCTCATTAATTATTAATTCTGATTGTAATTAGTTTTCCTTGTTGTCATGTCATTCTCAACTTCACCCTTCAGCTATTTATTGTAGGCGGTGTATTAAGTGTACAACTTTTCCTTAGATTAGTGCGGCCAAATATCGTGATGGAATCTGATCACAGTGATGCGTAATTGTGATTTTGGTACTTGGATCTCTCTCTCTCTCTCTACATTCATTTGTTAGATAAAAACCACTAACATTTATCTTGTGCATACAAACACCACCGATAATATAAATTGGCGTGGGAGTCTAAAGGTAACGGTGCACTCTCAATTGTTGTTGTTGTTGTCACTGTTGCCAACTGCCTCCAAACATTTAAAAACAATTCAGAGTGCACCATGATCGTCAGCCATTTATAGCATAGTGGCCACATTGCCGGCTTGACTGATGCGATTTAGTCGGCACCAACACCAAAGACTAGAGACGCATGACATGACATTCGCTACCGTCTAGTGTGTCCAATCAACAAAGTATCCATCACAGTTTCACAGGAGGTAATTCCTGGATCTGAATAGTTCACAGTTGTAACATCTACAACTGCAACACTAGATAACTGTAGTTAGAATCCTCGAAGGGAAATAAGTTCCTTCAAGATTACGGATACGCTGAGCTGACTCGTGAGTATCATAACAAGCGCGGAAGCAACGTCCAAGGCTACTAGGCAATTGTCTCCCGACATTGAATAGGACAAGACGGTGTCATCCAAGTTTTAATGACACAATCACCGGCGGAAAAAAACAACAGCAGACAAACAAATAACTACCTAGGTGTGTTTGTATCAGTTGCATAATCTAGAGTTAATTAGACTCGAAACACAAAAAAACCACACAACTAAAATAAGCAATGTAGAACTTGTTGGCGAAGAGTGAACATAGATTCAGGTATTCGATTTAAAAACTACAGAAAAGCACTCATTGTGCATTGTGTGCACGACCACCACTTAAGACTGTCGAGTATATTTCTTCAATGAACACACAAAATGAAATAAAATTAATCAATACAAATTTATATATGTATTCCAACCTCTTTTTATTATTTCAACTGTTTACGACACACACACAAACACATACAAGCATACGGATAGACACTTCCTTGTATTGTGTATACATACGTGTATACTTAAAGGCAATATTAAGTCTTCATTTCAATAGTGATGTATGTACAACATTAATCATTGCTAATGATTTTGTACTTATAAAGAAGCTATAAACTGTTGGTAATTTTGTTTTTAATTTAAGCCCTTTGACGGAAAATTATTCATTTAAATAGAAAAAATTATAGTACAAAAGTAAGTGACATTTATCATAGTAACGCAAACCGTTAAATAAAACACACTACTATACTGCCAAAGAAATTATGATAGAAATTAGAAGAGTCCGAGTCAGTTCGCTGAAAACACTACCAGAAAGTCTAAAAACTGAAGATGGATGAGAACACACTAAATAAGTACACATACACACACACACACACAAAAGATGACAGAATGCTCGTAAATCACTCCATGGGTGATCTGGGATTCGATTTCCAAGCAATGCACTTCTAAACGTTGGCTAGTTCACTATCCGTAAGAAAGTGTGGAAAAGACGGAGGGATGGTTATGAAGTTAGCAACTCCTCCAACCCGCAGTTGCACACTGTACTAGGGACACAAAGCTCCCATATACACAATACAGTTGTTTTGCCAAAGTTCAAAACTGTTAACCACTGTGAGTGAATCTACCAATTACACACCACAGAGATTCAATATGTAGAAAAGTCATCAGGTGTCCGCGAACACTAAATAATGGTTGTTCAATACCTGGAATTTATAAAAGTGCAGAATTGTAGAGTTCAAATAATCTCAATTTCGGTTAACTCAACGATAACATGTTCCCCATCAGGCTCTTGTCCCAATATTTCACACAGACATTAGTACATGTAGCTGAAAAGTTAGAAACTAAGATGAGACCGTTTATTCAGCGCTATTAATCACTTTCAATTTGTCTGTTGCCAACTTCTTACAAAGTCCACTTTGAAAACAATCAGAGCTGAGTTTTACTCTGTCTAATCACTGAGGGTCAATCAATCTCAAGTGCCAACCTTATTTAAAGCGAGTAGACTGATCAAGTGATTGGAGAAAATCGGCACGGTTTTGTGTCCGGGAGTGCCACGTCACCAAGAGGTAGGAAAAAAAACAACCCAAGAGGAATGAAGACCCCCCTTTAACGATTACAACTTATATACCGTTTAATGTTACAAACTTGTTACATAAAAATGAATAAGATGTTTTGTCAAACTTACTGATTAGTTTACGCATATTCTTGAATGATAAAAATTCATCCACCATCTGGAAAAAGAAAAGAGTGTGATAGGCGTATCGCTCTATTGTTCAAGTACAATATTATAAGAGAGTGGAGTATATATAATTAATCGCCAAAACCAATTTACCTTCCCCGCCTTTTATTCCCGCCTCTTTGATAGTAGAACAATAACAAAGGCGATCAATTACAATTTGAATTTACTGAAGTCGTTGGAGTTGTAAGCGTGTTCATCATCTATTCAAATGTTAAATTTAAATGTTTTAAAGGTTTTCCATCGTTTTTTTTTGTGACTTTTGCTATCCAATGCGCGAAAAGACATTGAGATTATCTGCATGCATCTCCACCCATTACTATTATTATAACAGGTAGGTTTATTAAACATATTGCATTAATGATGATGATCATCTTACTGTGAACATCGTCTAATTATATCCAAACTCCTATCTCCCCCTCGCTCTCTCTCTCTCTCATTGTCTGCCGGCTAGTTTATACGCCTTATCTTGTATATTACACACTAGGCAGGTTCGGAATATCTGCATCTGAACTCCCCCCCCCGCCCCTACACTAAACATACACGGGAACATACATCACCTAATAACTGAAAAGTCAATCAAATTGTTTTAATCAGACTAGTTATTTGTTTGAAAATTTTACACAATCAATCATCTTATCGACTGATGATATTTAGGTAAGTTGTAAAACTTCACTGACAAACGGATACACTATACGAACTATTATTGATACAATGAAAAGCAGAAAAGCACACAAATACGCATACACAACTGAAGTATTCACTCCACATAAATGTGATCATCATAACAAATTCAAGTTGTTACCTTCGTTTTAATAACGAATGAACACAATGGAATGGAAATGGACAATAAGATTTTTGTTTTTATTTAAACGGCATGAAATACTCTTTGGTGTAGTCAAAAGTCGACAGACAAATTTACATTGTGAGGACAGAAAGAAGGCCAAACCGTTAGATTTTCTGATCATGTACCGAAAACCCTACGTGTCAAGCGAACAAATGTTTGCAATATAGTGTCATTGTTAGCCATCTTATCAGTACGGTCCGTGTTGTGGACACTGTGAAATCCTTTGAAATTATAAAGAGAAAAAAAATGACTCAATTCTCTTGAAGCTTGCTGGAGCAATCTCTATCACACGCCTGAAACCTGGTTTATATGTTCAGAAAGAAGCACCTACCAGTCTTTCCTCAGCCTGGTAACTGGGTTTCTTTACTCCCTCTCTTTCATTTATGCAATCTTTCACTTTAACCTCTCTCCCCTTTGATACAGTATAACTTTGCTTGTCTCCTGTTTCTATGATTTGAATTGAACTCACCACATTGTCACTCAATTTATTCGTTAATCATCGTTTAATTCACCTCTTGTCTGTATTACGTAACTCTTTTGTCCGTGTATCCAAGCATTCATTCTTGTTTGAACTTGAAATCTCTGCATATAAACGATGTGAATGCAATTTCTGACCAATGTTTATCACACAACACTTGTTCTGTTGCTTTTTCTAGCCTCACACCCAAACTTCCATCCTTTTCTCCAGCTAGAAGACTAAATGAGGTACATCGGCTGGAAATCGAACCTGGACCAAATCAACAATCGAAATAGTGTGTAGTATACTGGTGGTCACTATAAATCAGGTTATATAAAGTTAGGGTTATATGAGATGCCTATATAACCCATCCTTACAATAAGTATCATTATTATTATTATTAAAAAAGTCAGTTATCATACAAGTACGGAGAGGTCATGTGACTTCAGCACCAGGTATGCTAGTATTATGCATCGCTGAAATACAGCAAACCACCGCAAAGCCTAGTTGCAGAAGGGCATCCCGCCAACTAACTATTTACAACACCTACCAATAAATAATCATATAACAGAAAGACGTTGAAATAAAAAACAGGAAAAAAACGGAAATGTGGTGAAAATATTTCTTTCCCTCGCTATTTTTTCACAGATAAACAGAACAACACAGCAATACTTACATTCACCGAATCGGCCACGGAATACAGACTATCGGTTAGCGAGAAACTGCTGCCAGACTGAGCAAAGCCTACCCCATTTTCTATAGAGGAGGAAAAACAAAGAGAGAAAGTAACACTATTATCATTCACAGCGGATTTTCACTGTCATCTTATAATCATCTAACTGATATCGCATTGTTGTTGACATGATTTGAAACTAACTTTAACTAACTTAGGAGACTGACGTTAATGTTTACAGGTAATCCCCAGAACAGCATTTCAAATTTTAGAGGTATCCACGTTTTTTAAAGCTTACGAAGCCATTAAAGAAGGAACAACATCCATCAACTGATGAATTGATCTTCATTTTTAATCCAGCTAACACGAGTTTCCCCGGGCTGTCATTTGAGTTAAGGATAATCCGTAGCTAACTATTGTATGTCATTATCACCGTGTGTCTGGACTTACGGAGTTGGTGTTTTCTCATAAGAGCAACTAGGACTTTTTCAGATATCTTAATCGCTTACCTTCGGTCGTAGATCAGCGATCACGCCTTGTTAGTAAATACTAATAATAAACACCAGAGAGCTGATTATCACACCTCTGCATACAACAACTCAATGAAAAGGAAAAAAAATGTGTTCAACCAGTAAGTCTCGCAGAAGCTTAAGGGATACTTCCTGGTGGATTTGAGTTCTCTCATGAATAAGGCTCTCATTTTAACTCCAGTCATTCACATCGCATCATTCTGGAGAGAATACAAGAGGTGATGGATACAGAACACTGACTATAACAAGCTGGATTCACCAAAAGCAATTCATGTGCTGATGGGATTGCGACTCTACGCATTATTATCATTGAATAGAACATAGAATGGAAGTCAAATCCCTATCTCAACTTCATCGACTTCGAGAAGGCCTTCGACGGACAGTGTTGACTGAGAAGTAATTTGGAAACTACTTTTTAACACTACGGTGTGCAGTGGGAAAGTCTTTAGCAACCTCATTCAACAACTGTATGACAGAGTGCCACAACGCAAAACTCAGCGAAGCCATTGAAGCGAATACAGGAGTAAGATAAGGCTGCCTATTATCACCAAGGTTATTGCTAACTGTGGTGGACTGGATTATGTATCAGACTGTGCGGAGTGAGAAGGCAGAAATAAATTGGCCCGAAAAGAAGACTCTAGAAGATCTGGACTTTACAAATGATTTATGTCTAATGTCATATAAATTCGAAGACTTACAGGCAAAAGCTAAAAACCTGACAGAAGAAGAAGCAGGAAAGATAGGACTACAGGTGGAAATAGAAAAGACGAAGGTGATGAAGGTAACCAACCAACCAACCAACCAACCAACAACAAGTACCGGCCACTATCAACGAAAGAAATTTGAATAAGGTCACTTGCTTCACTCACTTATCTAGAAAGCACCGTTTCAACTATGTAGATGTCAAAACCAGAAAGGTAAAGCTAACCTTCATCTCAGTTGAAAATCTTCTGCACTATGCCAGCATAAACAACAAAATTTGAGTTTTCAGTACCAAGGTTAAGTCAATTCTTCTTTATGGAGCGCGTCAAGAAAAGCGTTTCCAACAGCTTTGCTGCAGACTTACATCAACAGCTGCCTCTTCTTCGGTTAGGTATTGAAGATAAGATGGCCGGCCAGAATAAACTGTGGGAACAAACCAACCGAGATCCTATTGCTGAACAAATATCCAGACGAAAATAGAGATGGATTGGTCAGACACACTCTGCGGAGACCTTTGGGTGACATCTCACGCCAAAAATAATAATATTAAAGGGCAGATCAAAATTATAGCGAGTTGTTTTACGTAAAGAATTTATCAATGAACAACATAAAGAAAGCTGACCAAGTCAAATCATCTAGATAAAATTATAGACTCATTATATCAGATAATCATAACACAAAGTAAATATAGTCAAGTTGACAGTACAATGGCCAGCCGGGTCAATGTAACAATAAATCAATTATATGCACACACACACACACACAGAATTATCTGTCTATACAAAAATATATCTCTATGGTATACCTGTGATTATATTTATCTCAGTTTAATTGAATCACAGTGATAGTATATCATCAAATTACGTGGGCATGTGTACACACAGTGTATTCATAACACATATGACCTGACATGCATGCACAACACACCAGCACAGAAATACATACATACACACACACATTTATGGTTTTCTTCAATAATTAGTCAAAATTAGAAATCAATGAGAAGGAGAAAGGAGAGGAATTAGAAGACATCAATAGTCATCTCTATTTGTAAACTATGTGTGAATGACTCGTGCAGTTGACTTCGATTCATGCAAAATGAAATTATGAATATAATTGGCGTAGAAGCCGTTTACATGTGTATCTCATGTATACATATACAATACATAGATGTCATTTGATGAAGTGGTTCAAATATAAAATTAGCAGACGTGTTTTTTAAAAAAAAGTACAAAGAGTAATACTCAACTGCAAGATGCAATAAATGATAAACGAGAAAAAATGTAAAAATACACATAGATAAATTTTATATTTACTTAACTCGGAGTGCAATGTGAAGCACTGATTTACACAACAGTAATGCTGTTACAGTTAATAATAAGAGTAATCTTAATTAGTATGCACATAGCTAATTTTCCACTACAGAATACTTTATACAAATAAGATCAGAATACAGTATCCAAATGTACTTCATCACAACATTGAAATTAACACATATGCCCATTGATTAATTGACAGATAGATAGATGCATAGATGATGGGCATGACGCTGCTGTTCAGATCATCTTCTAATCAATGCAAGTTTTAAGCGAATAACTTTCTCCTTTTTCTTCATCACACCAACCAGCTGTTTACTAATATTTGTTGGTGTATTATTATTATATCCTTTAATTCCTAAAGGAACATAGAGCTTCAGCCGCTCGTCTCCATTGCTATCTGTTTTCTGCCAACTTTTTCAACCCACTCCAAGTCTGCCCACATGCTTTCATCGCCTCTTCACATGATCTCCTCCAAGTCACCATTGGACTGACGACCAACAGTGTGGAATCAAGCTGTAATCAAAAAATAAAAAATAGGTTCCTCCCATTTATGCTGATTGTTGTCTGTTGTTGTTCTCGTGTTGGTGTTGGCCAGGAATCTTCATCACCTCTGTTTTATCTATGTTCACTTGAAGTCCTTGCTATCTTTGATGCTTCTTCTGTCTCCAACTTGTTATTTTTCACTTGTATATCTTCCAGTTTGTTTGTGGGAAATCAGACCAGATCCTCCAAGTTCTTTGTGTGAGTTCATTTTATGCCTGTCTCCTCATTGCCCGTTATCTGTCTCATTATCCAATCTACTGCAATCAGGAAGATCATGGCGATAGTAGACAGCCTTGCCTCACTCCTGTCCTCACTTCAAAAGATTCCGTAAGTTTCCCGCTGTGGATTACTTGGCATGTAGCATTGTCGTATAACTGTTGGATGAGATGTATAATTGTCGATGGCACCCCGTAGTAGCGAAGTAGTTGCCAAATGACCTCTCCATCGACGCTGCGCTATCGAAGGCTTTTTCAAAGTCGATGAAGTTGAGATTGAGAGGTGACTGCCATTCCAAGCTTTGCTCAATGATGATCCGTAGTGTGGCGATTTGATCAACACATGACTTGTTTCTCCTGAATCCAGTTTGTTCCGGTCGAAGTTTTTCATCTAGGGCTTGTTTGATTCTCTCCATGATGATGCGGCTTAGTATTTTGCTTGGGATGGACAGGAGCACAATTCCACACCAGTTTTTGCACTGACTTAAGTCTTTTTTCTTTGGTAGCTTGAATAAGTATCCTTTCTTACAATCCTCGGGTACTTTGCCCTCTTTCCACACCTTCTCCAGCAACGGCGTCATCAAGTCCGCTGTTGTTTCTGAGTCTATTTTCAATGCTTCTGCTGGGATTCCATCTGGTCCTGCTGCTTTTCCAGCTTTTAGCATCTTGATTGCATTCAGGACTTCTGATTTCGTCGGGGGGGGGGTAGATGTTCACTAGTAGTTATACTTCCGTTGTTGGTATTGTTGGGCGCGTTGTAAGTGGCGGACGACTTAGAAGTCTTCTGAAGTGTTCAGCCCAGTGTTTTCTTTGCTTCACCTCTTTGGTGACTGACTTTCCATTGTCATCCTTTACTGGCTTAATCTGTGTCGAACTTCTGCCCGATAGGTACCTAGTTGTTTGGTAGAGTCTCCTTTCCCTGCAGCTTGTTCTGCTTGACTTGTCATGACTTCATAATATTTTCTTTTGTTCAGCGTATTGTAGCTTGCATTCAACTCCTGTTGGTGTAGATTTAATATATAGTGCAGTACAATATCGAGTTAGCTATGGAAACAACAGCAATGATGCCAGTAAGTTGGTTGTTATATAATCTTTCTTTCTTCGTGTTTTTTTCTTTTCTTCAAAACTAAATAACGTGCATGACTTTCATTCTAATCGACTGTAACAGTTATGCTGAGGTAAACTAAAATGTACACACACACAAACACGCACGCATTATGAGCAATAGCATGATCGATTGAAAAAAATTGAACAATTTCATGCATACACAATAAAATAATTTCACAACAATGTACCATCACATTCTACTGTTGTTTTCTCAAGTAAACACGTAAGTAAGCCTAACAAATCATGTACACTGTATAAACATGAATTTTCAAATTAATGGTAGTGGTAGCATTAGTATGGTGTGATCAATTTCACATATTCTATGCAGAGTGTGATTGGAATATGACGAATAGAGAAAATCATGGAAGCACTGAAATTAAATGCTGACAGTTAGGCTTGTTTCGATGGCATGCAAGTTAATTATTATTTACAAAGGCAATTGGAAAGGTGATTGACTAACAATTGATGCAGACAGATGAATCATATTTGTCAATTACAGCATAGTATTGCTTTTAAAATGACGTGATCGTTGCATATTTTAGTGCCTACTGAGAATCAGGAGGCACATTTTATTGAGGCATAGATTTGTATTTTCGTTAATGGCGCAGATAATATTATGAGGAAAATAACAGCCATAATAGCTCTTGACTAGGAGGAGGCGTCATCTCAAGTACAAAAGGCAGAATTAGCAACAATCACCATAACAGTCCAGTATGAAGTTAGCCCGATGACAAAAAACATTCGTCAAAGGCTAATGCACAAGCTAAACCAATCAAAGTGAAGGTCATAAGTATACAAGGTTAGAAGCAGTATGATAGGTGACTCATCCAAAAAATGGTAGACATACTCACAACAATGCATTTTAGCAGGTAACAAAAAAGCCAAAATGCGCACTCATTTGTGTTGGATTAGAAGCAGATATACTACAAAAGGACAGACATTAAATGTATTTAATAAAGAGAGAGAAAGTGACCCAAGGATTTTCAGTCTCATGACTAATTATTACTACATATACACACTACAATTAGATGCATGCTGAGCCTAAATTTTAACCATTGAAACTACGCTAGCTTGATCTGATAGGCATAAGCAGACTTAGGATTTAAATATAAACATAAGTAACCCTGTGTATTTTGTATGACAGAATACAGTCATGCTATCACTAAAAGTAAAACATGATTACATACTGAATAAGGACACAAACTACCAATATGCAGCTTACAGAAAGAAACTGGAACTAACTTACAGGAGGAGTGATAGCATGGGAAACAAAATCCAGCTGACTAACAAATTAAACAAACTATCCGCCTCATGTTTCATGAAGGCACCCTGATAAAATGCAACATTATTATATAGTTGCTCTACACAGCACATTGTGTATACATCCACTGCTATAAGCAGTTAAATTGTTCTTCAGTTGAATAAATGTAAGCATACTAGTCACCCAGTAAAAGTCATCCTTTATGACCAAGAGACAAAAAAAACATTCCTAGAGGAGGAGGAGTAGTGTGATGATCAGTGTAGCATAAGAGAATGGGACCAACAAGAATAAACAGTACAATCAAGGCTTTACTTTTTCGTCTTCATTTCAGAATACCAAGTGACTACCGAGAGTGGTGGTTGAGAAGAGTAAGAGTTAACCCGTGTCGATACGCTTTTTTTAAATTTATCCCTTTGTATTCCCAGTGGAACATAGAGGTTCAAGCTTGGGAAGAGGAGGGGGTTGAAGCTACAGTAACAGTGGTGTTATTCTATTCAAGGGGATGGGGTTGCTAGCCTCATCTTCAACCTTTCCTCTTTACCGGACATACCACCAATTAAGCGAGATTTGGCAGGGCGTCCGTCAAACATTGAAACCCAGACCACCATACGCTAATCAACCTTTGTAAGTTACATAACATGAATAGTAGAATTATGGTATTATCAAAAAAAAAAAAAAATAACAAGGGGAAGAAAACGGATGGTATGTCACACTGAAAATTGACAAAATCACTTACGACTACTTTTACGACTATGCGACAATCCATCGAGATAAACTGCATTAAGACGACCCGGCATGGTTTGATCGCCAACAAGTGAATTCTTCCGCTCACCATAATAATAACCAGTTGAATAATTCGAGTGACCATTCCCACCACCCCCACCTGATCGCATATTCAATGAGCCATCGACTAATGGATCCCGTGGACCAGTGTCATATAATCGTAGATAGATTGGATTATATGGTATTGACAAGACAGTCACATCATAACCAGAAGCGGATAAGGATTCAGTTATTTTAACTGATGAAAATAATAAATCATCGTTAATTTCAAATTCACTTGGATAGCTATAAAATGATGATTTATTGAAAGGTAAAAAAAATTTGCTAATGCTATAAGTATGAATAGAAGATAGGTCAATATTGAATAAGCAAAGCATATATATATATATTAAAATATTTGATATATTTTAAAAAGAAAACAAAGAACCAGTTAACATATGAACATGACATGAGATGTTTTCAAGCGGGTAAGCTATCTGTTTATCAAGTGTTGTCTGATCTTCAACAGTACAGCACTAGGTGACCCGGATTCGAATCTCAGAGGGGACACACTAGTCTGTCCCTTCAAGCCTGCAGGTTACTTCTTGCTCACGAGCAAGTACAAAACAACTATGTCCAAGACTTCCTGCTGATTGCCTGTAACCACCAGACGACCTTTAATAGTTTTCTAGATAATGCAATGGATGTTATTTACAGTCACATTGAGTTTCAACACAGAATTCCAAGTTATCAGATTCCATGCAACACATAAAAGAAGAGAAAAGAGAGAAATAAGACATTCAAAGGGACTACAATGATCAAAAATAAGCGAAAGAAAGAACAGTATAATAGGAAAGCATGAGGGTTCAATGGAACTGGGGGATTACAGAGAGTGAGTGTGTCTACACACGCCAGTGAGAACAATTTTGAACCGTATCAACTACAGTCTCCAGCCATTAGTTCTTAAGTCCCCAACTAGAAAGCCTGCACCTCTGTACATCTAAGATTTCATAGATTAATTGCAGGTTTTGATTTGATTACACCCGCTCCCTTCCCCCCGAATTTTCTTCAGCCTAAGTCTATGTCAGCCGACAATGCTCGTCAAGAAAAGCGGTGACTTGAGATACGCAACATGTATCGTAGCCATCTCAGTGGATGCAGCCTTACAAGATGATCGACTGGCATGCCCTTTATTACCTACCACTTTACATTTAACTTGAATATTGCTCATCACATTTTATCAATTAGAGCGAGGGACAGAATGTAAAAGACGTATCTTCCACTTTCAGTGGCAATGTCTCACAGTAATAATTGAGGACAGAGCCCAGTACACATCTCTCTTTTGATGGATAAGACATGTGAACAATCTAACTTAATAATTATTAAATTTATGTACCAGAGGAGAACAAATTTGTAGCCTTGGTGATTGACTGACTTTACAAGGTAGAACACTGGCAACGAAACATGTATAACTTTCAGTTGCCACACTTTGGAAAACTATACGCGTAACACCAACAAAAAAGAGTCCGATGAAAAAAGAAACACAGGAGAAGAGGCAATCAAATGAACAATTGTGTATATATTGTGAAAATTTTATGCTGTATGTATGAGATAAAGAGATTCTGAAAGACTGAAACAACACAATCTACACCTCTACTACCCGCATGAATCAGATCAACAGTCGACAGTCACATAGGGGGGATAGAAGCACATTACTCAGTTAGTGAATGCAAATCCACAGCCACATCTTTGTAATTTTAATTAAATTAGAGAGATACACTGAGACTCTTCACATTAAAAATAACAAGACACACTGGACCAGTCAAGACATGCCAGAAATACTGAGAAATCTGTCTTGAAAATAATCTCTTCCAAGAGCACAGGATTCAATTTTTGTTCATTTGAAGAATTCCATTGTTGTTATAATCAACAGTTGATACATTAATACAAGTATCACCTCATCAAAATAGATGGTTTGACATTCTTTTTTGGTAAGATCAATCGAGAGAATAAGGAAATATAGGAAAAAAGTTGAGATTCATTTCCACAAAGTACGTATGCAGTCATGACCAACCAAGCAGCAGTGATCCTGTTTAAACCTGTTTCTTTGAAACAACATACATACATACTGATGTGTACAAGTGGTCGAGTGCCGAAAAAAAAAACACTTTCAAGCATCCCACACACTGTGAACAACTAACTAGTTAAGAAATGCGCCAGTGAGTATGACATGAATAAACGATACATTCTATAAGCTGAGTGAAAGCGACTTTAAAAAGAAAACATCACAATAAAACAAGTCTATTGACAGAGAAAATGGTCTCAGCGAAACCAATTACAAAATAAACAGAAATTCTAAACTATTCAGAGATAATCATTATAATAGAGGTTTTTTGTATTTCCCAATGAATGAAATACAAAAAACCTCTATTATAATGAATATCATATACCCAATGCCCAAATTTTTTCAAACCGTTAAAAGTGAACTTGGTTTGGATATATATATTCAGAGATAATTTCAACAAATTTATCATAATAGGAAGCAGCAGTTGTTAATTATTTCATAAAGTTTTAATTTCCACATAACTGATCTCATCAAGAAAAAAAAGGATATCATCATGTTTGCTGGTGTGGTGAGATATTTAGGCGTTTGTTATCACAACCGATATAACTAGACACAGGAGAACTTCGAAAAAGTATCTTTGAACCTGGGGATCTCAATGCTTCCCCCATAAAAAAGCCTAATGATACTTACCACTTGTTAATCGCCTTATTAAAGCGGCAAGTCTTTATTCAGTCAAGAGTTCATATATGATTAGCTGAAATGTTTAACACCACTTTTGTTGACGATCTGTTATCTGTCAACTGTTCACAATACATTACATATTACAGGATTTCAACATGAGCTGACATCGGTTAGATAACCATTGGAAAAACAACACCTGAATATCATCTTGGTGGTAACTGGCTATCGGCCCTATTCAGACAGGTAGTTACCTGGGTTCTAGTGTGAATTCGTGACCAGTGGGGTGAGGTAGGTCGGATGTGAGAGCACATACTTGTCAGTAATGACTTTGGTTAGTGACAGTCGCACAATATCGTGAGTTGGCAGAAGTTAGAATTCACGGGCCACTGCATCAGTTCCCAGTGGGTTTAATGGTCTATAAGTTCGTCTTGTAACCGGAAGGTCCTGGGTTCGAATCCCGGCGGTGGGTGCGTACTGATGAAGAGTCCCAAAGTAGAACGAAATAGTTGTCCAGTGATCCCAATGGTTCTCTAACCTCTATCTGCCTATTATGAAATCATGTGGCTAGTCAAATTCCCGCAAACCAACACCTGAACATATATATTACATTGAAAGTCAATTTGTTAAATGTCCAGAGAAGGTGGGATTTACATAATAAGTACTGATGAATAGTTGTTCTGTATTTCGATATCGATTCAGTGGGAGAGCTTGTTCGGAATTACAAGAGGAGTCTAGGCGGCCACACTGTCAACTAGTGAGATAGATGAGTCAGCTAATACATAAGTCATTAATACAATGCAGCCATGTAGGTAAAGATTAGGCAACCGAATACCAATAAAAGGCCTCAGAAAATAGGAACAAAAACATTGGTATTTGCTGTAAACGGTACTGTGAATACACGTTCTAATCAAACAATGAAATATAATTTATGAACCGCAGGGCTTCCAAGGGACAAATTACCTGACTGGTTACAAGGATGGATCAACAAGGTTTAGGTAATCGCAGTAACAATCCAAGAATAATGGTAAAGTCAAACCTACAAGTGAACAAGCTAATCACGTACCAAGGAATGCTTCTTAGCAGCTTGCAGCAATATACATGATCGTGGTTTAAAAAATCACCCACATAGATCAACAATGATCAAGCGAATAGAAACAGTATTCAACATAGAGATGATGGAATCTGTTCTTTCGAAGGTAGAAATTCGACAGTTGCTTAGTTATGTTTCGACATTCTTCGGTAGTATTTTTTCCATTCACTTGAGTTTCGAGTGGAACACAATGAATGCTTCACCGTCTTGTAGTTTCAGCAGAGGTGGCGTTGCATGTACGCAGTAAGTTTGATAGCATCACATCCAACTTTCTCGAGCTTAGTATGAGCTAGTAAACCGGATGGGTTTTCAGAGCACATCTTCCAAGATTCGAGGCCGGAACAAGTGTGTGGTCAGCAAGCATTGTGACAAACTTCGGTAGTGTTTATTTAAGGTTACAACACACGCAGAATCGACCTCGGAAGCATTCATTTTTCATAGCGAATAACATTAACGTCCAGTCATTTGGGTTGTAATTTATTAAAAAGTGTTTAGATATGCCTGGATATCAATACTTCTCCATGATGAAATATACATCAAAATGAATTGTTGATAAGTCTCCCAACTAAAATGGGGCTTCACTTCTAATTCGACTAGTTATACACAAAAAATAATATCATATTAACTGGCTATACCCTAAAATTTAACCAAAATAAGGCTTCGCTTCATAAAGTTTAGCCATTATCCAGAGACAATGGGATGGAATGAATACCTACACCAACTGACCAACTAAAAGTGTCTCCAATAGCCTATGCTTCATATGAGTGCGGTAATCGAAAGAGACTAGCAATTGTTGTACAAGCACTGCTAATCAACAGAGAGACAAGCAAACAAGAGTGGTATTCTCTTTTTTTAGTACAAAAAAAAACTCGCCTTTCAAGACAAAACTAAAAAAGCAGGTGCGCATAACACGCGCTGCCTTATCTACACACAGTTAACTGCATTGGAGAAACCTTTAAACATTCTATCTGAATAGGTGAATAAAGACAACACAACAGAAATCGATGTTGACGGAAAAAATTGCTAAAATTATTTCTACTATCACCACCTATCGGTAACATCAATACGTGAGAAATGAAGGCGAAAATAAATAATTAAATTTGGTATGTTATTTCTCTGTTCGCACAAACATATATATATATATATATATATATATATATATATATATATATATATACGACAAAAGAAATAGAAATGAGAACAGTATTGATAGAAGTCATGCGATACGCAACAACTTGAAATAATACACAACATAGCACAGTTAGAACGCGTGTTGATAGTGCCTCGTTAGTGTATAAACAAAATCCACAAAAAATTTGTAACATGAAGAAACATTATCTTGAAAAAGCAATGAGAATAGAAATGTAAATCGATTTGTGTCACTGGAACTGATTCTGAAGTCTAGAACACATTGTTGCGGGTTGTTTTTTTTGCGGACCTACTGTTTGTCTGTACACAAATCACTTAATTAGTTAATAATAATAATGATAAATGTCACCTTTATAGATTGGTGATTATATCTAGATCTATGCTATGCTCCACTTCCTCTCAAATTAGCATTGCATATTTGGTATGGAGGTTGTGAGCAGGTATGCATTTTAATGAGCATACCTCAATTATCACAGACAATAGCTCACAAATTAAGCGGATATACTTTACGCTTCTTTCAGATGGAGTGCCCGTTTTGAAATAGGTTGTAATCAAACGAAAAAGAGAATAGTAGAGTGACTGTGTTCGCATTCAAACCTAATGATCATCAACATCATTTTGCCGAAATCGAAAAGGAGAAATATGCATAGTAATCTATGAATACATACCTGTCAACAGTGTTCGTCCTATTAAATGCAACCGACGGTAATAACCAAGGCGATGTATCCCGTCTACGTTGAATAACCTAACAGACAAACGTATACACAAATAAAAAGAAGCGAATACCCAACAAAAAAATCGATAAAGATATACCAGATAGTGCATAATCAACAAGTGGGAAGAAAGTCTTACATTAGGCAACAGATTTTGTGAGATATGGCATTCACTATAGGATATATTAAACATTAAACAGAAAGATTGAGTTGATAACATATGATATAGTGCTAATCATCTAAATTCACTAAACAATGACTGTATTCTCATTCGAATCTCCAAGGGAGTATAAATCGAAGTGTTCACACTACCTCGTTTCAACGCCTAATAGCGCTGTGAGCAGCTATACACATATTCACTTGAATAGAGAGCTTTACTAATGATGCAAAAGCAACACAAATTATACATGCTAAACACAATTTCACATAGGTCCAGTTCGTAGAGATATTTATTAAGCATAGAGGCATATCAAAGGGATGCAAATTTGCCTCATTCAAGATTGTTAATACAAATAGATTGAAGTCTAGTATATATCATATAATTTGTAGCGGTTAGCAGATTTTGCATAGGATACTTTTTTTTGAGGTAAATATACGTTTATTTAAACACCTTACGAATTGTTCACTCATTAGAAACCTTTGTATACCAGAGGATAATATGGGGTGAACGCAAACAACTCTTTTTAAACCTCTGATCTGAATAACATAACTTTCAGTAAGACAGTCAGCCTTCCTATCTTTAGTTTGCGGCAGTAGCTCCACCGATCTCTGAAATATGTACTGATCTGGATGAATTGTATTCCTATTTACTAACTACAGATCACTCTAATCCAACTGCGAAATCTGACTGACTTCAGCTAAGCAGCTATTGGCAAAAAGCAAACACAAGGCAACACATACAGTCCCTTCTTCCTAACAATTAAATCCCTACATTGCTGTAAGAACTCGTGATTGTGTGACGGACAGAATGTCAGAAAGATGCCGTTCAGGTGTTAGACTAGATTGAATACGATGGATCATAATATTAAACTTCTAACGAAAATATATTACTATTGTTTCCTTTAGTTTCTAAAGGAACATAGGGCTTCAACTGCGCGTCTCAATTGCGTTCGGTTCTCTGCTAGAGTTTTCACCTGGCTCCAGGTCTGCCCACATGCTTTCATCTCCTCTTCACATCACCTCCTCCAAGTCACCCTAATACTGACGACCAACTCGCCACTTCCCTTTCGGATTCCACTCGAGCAATGGCCTGTCTTGGGATGTCACTTGATGATTTGTTTTCTCAGAGTATGGCCAATCCATCTCCCTTTCCTCCAGCCTATTTGTTGCACAATCGGTTCCAGCTAGGTTGGTTCGCTCCCAGAGATCCCTGTTGCTGATCTCTTCTGGTCGGCCATCTGATCTTGAGTAGTATTGAGTGAAGACAGCTGTTGATAAAGCTCTGTAGCTTGTTCGAAGTACCCTTCCTGACGCGCGAAGTACCTGACCCGTATAATAGCACTGACTTCATACTGGAGTTGAAAATCCGGATCTTATTTTCATTTTGATGCTGAGTCCTGTTGATCTCCGCACAGACTTTCGAGTAATGAAAGCTTGCCTTGCTTTCCCGATCCTCGCTTTGATATCCTAATCAGTTCCACTGAGATATACATATATATATATTCTATAGTTTGGTTTGGTTTGGGGGGGTCGCGCTAAATCACGAATTGGTAGAAGTTAGAATTCATGAGCCATTAAATCAGGTCCCAGTGGCTGAATGGTATACGAGCTTGCCTTGTAACCGCAAGGCCCTGGGTTCGAATCCCAGTGAGTGCGTACTGCTGATGATTCCCAAACTAGGATGAAACAGGAGCTGTCCAGTACTCCCTGGTTTTCAATGGTTCTCTAACTGATATCAGTCTGTGACCCATCAGAACTTAAGGAAATCAATCTCCTAGCTAAGTACTTCACAACTGTGAGCATGTTGTAAAATTACGACAGAGAAGTAAATTCGCAAAAGGATTTTGCGAAATTTTATCACCACCATACATTCAAATCACATAATTATATTATGACATCAATTTGATTTGAATACAATAATAATAATAAATAGTACACTTACAGTATAAATATGTTCACTAAGCGATTGAAGATTAATCAATTGGACAATTAATGATATTGTACTAGCTAGTAAAGCGTGTAAAGCACATCGATGCGTCAATGGCATATATGTATTCTCATCGACAATTTTAGTTTGAACCGCTAATATTAAACGAAACAACTCTGTGATAACCTTTGCATGCAAAAAGAGAAGAGTAGAAACAAATAATGAGAATTAAGTTTCATCCTGTAAAATTAAACACTGCTAAAGAAACTTTAAGCCACTAGCTTGAGGCTCTATGTTCCACTGGGAACTTGTAGGAAAAAAACAGGACAGTGAAACTCACTGTTCACCATGTTTTATACCGAATTCCGATGGAAAAGAAAAACAATAGCGTATCTCTCTGTCAGTCAACTCAGTATAGTTAAGAAATAAGAATGCATATCTCTCACTGGCCGACTTTAGTTCAACATACACCTTTGCACGGAAGTGTGGAACTTCAAGTTACCAAACTCTCCATGTAGCACACAAACAAAATCGTAATGAGCAAAAATGTGAGGATGAAAGAATAGTAACATGGAAGAACATGACTGTTCACTAGATATGAGGGATTACACATAGTGAATGCATCTTCGCCACTGAGAACGATTTTAGGCCATACCACCAACAATCTCTAGTAATCGGTTTCAAGAGTCTCGACAATCTTAGCGTGGCAGTCTGTACAGCCATATTTGGCAAAACCCAATTGTCAAAGACTTCATGGACTGATAGGAAATTTCTATTCGACCATCTTTAACTCTTTCCCGACTTATTCTTATGTCAGGTTACATGCGTAACAAGTGTCATAACTATGTCAGATCGTGAAGCTTCACTACCTCATCTACTGACTAGCCCTTCCTTACCTAACATTTTGAACCTTACACCAATATTACCCCCACCATATTATACCACTTAGAGCAAGGATTTGTGACCAGATAGAGCTGGCCCCCACCAGTCCTTTACTTCTAATGACTATGTTTCAGAGCTATAAATAGTCGTGGCTCATTGCTTTAGGCATTCAGCAATCAACCACTGGGTAACAGATTCTAATTCCGCTCCGCCTACCGAGGTCTAGGTAGCCAGAGGGTATAACTAATAACCCTTACACAACAGATATGACTCATCCTCAACTGCATAGAATTCCAAGTGGTTGATGTATATCTCCCTAATGGCATTTAGCAAAAATTATAGTATGTTTATTAGAACTTAGTCACCAAGTCACACTGTTTGAGAGCTGATGATAATATCCAGAAGACCCAAACTGAAGTCGGTGAAGCGACATTCGAATCTGGTACCCATTAGTTTGAAGTCGACTGTATAAAATCAGCCATATCTTCATAGCAGTCACAGTATACAACAGGTTGAAAAGAAATATTAAAAACGCTGATCATTCGATTCCATTTCACTTCTGCACTCTATCCTATCATACCTTGTCAAAAGTAGATTCATAAGTGTAACCAACTACGAATTTTGTTTGAAATGAATATCAGCCATTGTGTTGAAACAATAACCTGTGAATAAACATCATCATCAGTAGTATCCAATATTATCTAACTGCATTTTCCAGCTGTTACCATTAAGACTAAGTACTCGGAACAAGCTTGAAGGCCTCGATATTTGAAAAACCACCACCAATTAGCTGAATCTATCATTCTACAAGGACAAGATTTAGTTTATATCTGCAATTTAATTTATATAATACCTGGCATAACGTTATGCAAATCGAAGTGAAACTACTGACACCAAGTAAGTGATATTGTGATGAGAGCTGACTGCTAGTCAAATTGGTAGACAGTAATTTACGTCAATGTTTAAGTCCCAAATATGTAGTCATGTGAAAACAAGAACAAAGACTGACAGCATACTTTGAGTAGGCTGACACGATTAGCAGATAGATGATCTAACATTCAAGAAAGAGCCACAAAAAGATGAAAGATTAACTTTCAATGAGAAACAACCAATCAGAAGACTGTGTTTGCTTGCTTACAATAATCTATAATAATGTACATGAAAATCTATAAATATGCGTTGATTTCCTTAATAAACGATCTGTTGCCTGGCCCTTGTCTTCTGTTGTTACAATATTAGTCAAATCATTGTTGCAGCTAGCGTACATCAGGTTAGTCATGCCTACAAATACTCTATAAGCTCAGGTTTTCCACTTCAACAACAGAATTAACCAATCAAAAATATATTAACAAGATTAATGAAAATTTATAAAACCAAAAACGCTCACCTGTTCTGCACCCATTTCCAATGCAACTAAACCAACAGTACACGACAGATATTCTAAGTTATCAACTTTATTAGTCTGATCCAATAATTGGTGATAAATATTTTCAATGAACAACACACCAGTCTATCAAAAACAAAAAGACAAGACAAACACCAAGGTAACAAGAGAGATGTCAACAGAGATGTTAACAACACAGAAGTTGATTCAAGAAAAAAAACTCTTCCACAAAGCTGAATCGACGACTCTCTCGTAACTGAGAAATCCTAAGATTATAATTTAATACTCACTAGTGGTTAGAATAGACACTTTTTGTTTGGGTGTGAATACAACATAAACATATGATGGGTAATATGGTTGTCTATCTACGCGTGACTGTCCTCTCCGCTTATAATCTACTATTGGTGTTTTTTTATCTTGCCTAAAGATGACTAAGTGAATAGAGCCAATTTCAGCGTGGCTACCAACATTACAAAGCGCTATTCCCTAAAAAAAATCTGTAAATTACAAGCTGGTTTTGTGAGAAAAAAAATCAGAAGTCGTAACATGTTTACATATATTATTCATGGTCATCCCTAAATGTTTACAAATGAATGGAATGAAATTTCACCAGTTTTTATTATTATTATTATGATTATGACAGAGAGTAAATAAACAAAATAGTCAACAGAGTAGGTACAAATTTTCAGATCAGCAGATAAGAGTCAGAATGGTGTTGGTGGTTGAACTAAGTTAATTATAGATCGTCATCGTCATCTGACCGTCATTGATTTCAGCAACAAAATAATAATAATAATGCATACCTATTACTTCAGACGTCATAAATATTAGGTTAAATTTATGACTATAGTAATTAGCATTAGAAATGTAATATAGTCACGGTTGATAATATCATGTGGTATAAATTATCATAGCTTCTGATCATGAGTGAATATTGAAGTGAGACTTGTTAAGCTACTTATTACCAGAATTCAGTAGCACAATAGATTTCTGAGACAAGGATGAGCAGAAGTCCAAGCTAGCTAGAGATCCACATCAAAACCAGAGTTGGATGCTCTGCTATCATACGAGAGAGTCTACCTACGAATAAATCTCTGGTTAACATGTCAAACGAAAGTAAATGAGTATCCATCACTACAATATAAAAAAGACCAGCCGATAAACATCTATTGCATTATCAAATACTAACATTCATGGAAGATAGATATGTTTTCCACTCTTAGAGGTTTGCCGTTCAAAGTTTTCCCTAGCGGTACCGTTGTTAGCTTTACGCTCAACCCTACCCCTTTTTTAGGTTTACTATACCAGTTAAAAAAGTTCAGGAGTGCGTTTGCCGGAATTCAAGTTCAGACCATGTGAATGGCTGGCGAAGGATTCTACCAGTGAACCACCAACATTCGTGGAAGTAAGACATAAGGATGTCTGTAAAGTTGGTAAACATGAAGTAAAATAATAAAATGCAGGACCTTTTGAACACTTCAAGTGAAATTCTTGGTATGTTCGGCGTGCAATTTGCTCATGGTCAAATGTGAGATGATGTTGCAGGACTCGACTACAACGACTCCTAGCTTAAAGATAAGGAATGAAGTGGTAGGGTGTGTTGGCTACTTCACTTGCTTGGGAAGTTGCATCAGCTCTTACAGGGTGATTATTGACGAAATCTCAACACGGTTAGAAAAAGACTCGTGTGACGTTTACCAACTTACACCAGCTATAGAATAAACGTGATGTCCTTCTTTCGATGAAAAGACAAGTGTACCGAGGAGCATTGAGACATGGGTAATGCAAGTGAAAAATACGAAAAGGTTAGCTGTCTTTGATCAAGGTGTCTCCCTTCTATATACTGTGTTAAGTGCTGTAATGGGGTGAGTAATATAGAGATCAGGAGTCAAGTTAGTCGATAAGGTTGTGAAACTACATCGATTGAGATGGCTAGGATATGTGTTACGCATCTCTAACCATCGGCTTTACTCGACAAGCAATGTTAGCTGGTATAAGATCAGATTGGAAAAGAGACAGTGGTGGACAAAATAAGACTCGGAATCATTCCATGAAATCTTTAACAGTTAATTTGAGCCACGTAGGAAGGTATAGACAGTATTCTACCTCTGTGCCACAGACGCATAATGAAGTGTAGGCTAAAAATAAATAAATAAATAATACCAAGACTTTATGATCTACCAAAGGTACACAAGGTTGGTCTCCCACTCCGCCCAATTCTGGATATGTCAGGTTCCCCTTACCACTCTATTACAAAAAGGCTGGAAGATATACTGCAACCTGTAAGGAAACAATTATGTATGCATTCGCTCCGTGACACTCTTCAGTCTATCGACTGCATACAAGACCTGAATGTATCTAACAAAATTAAACTGTCCTTCCACATTGAACCACTTAATCGCCGATATCCCATTTATGGAAACTGTATGCTCTTTATGTAAATATATAGATGAGAACCATCTGAACATTGGAACACCAATTTTTTGTTGAGACGCACTCTGGATGTACAATTCACTTTCAACAACACCATTTATAGACAAATAGATGGTTTTGCAATGGGATATCCGCTGGGTCCACTACATTCAGATTACTTCGTGGCAGGCCTCAAGAAAGGTCCATTTTATCCGAGGATCAACAATTTACGACTGTATAAAAGATACGTAGATGACATACTCATTGTTTGTGACAACAGTAATGATCCCAATCTACTGCTGCAGACATTTAACTGTTGCAATCGAGCAATAAAATTCATTATTGAAACAGAAAACGAATCAAAAATTCTGTTCCTTAATGCAGAACTAACAAGAAGAACTGATGGGAACTTAGGAAGATCGATCTATAGAAAAGCTACTTGGAATGGTCAAATAACAACCCTCTATAGCTCGGTAACCATTCAACAAAAGTGGGATTTAATTAAATCTCTTGCCGCTCTCATTCGATGCATCTGTTGTCCCAATGTTCTAGAAACACAATTAGATATTTTGAGAGAAATCTTCACCCAAAATGGAAACCAACAACGATTCATTGACAAAAATATAGAACCAAGAATTTGGAGAAATGAAACTTCACTTGTGACAAAACAGAAACTCTACAAGAACTTAGATTTCAAGTGAGATTTAACAAGTGATATTCTCAGGAGAAGAATCGCATCATCTCCGAGATCATTCTTTGCAGCAGCGCTAAGAATAGTGTTCTCCAGTCGCCTACTGATCTACAAAAGCTTCATAGACAAGATCTCTCATCTGACTACTTGTATGTGCATACATCAGTTCACCTGCTGCTGTGGAGGCGGGTACATCGATCGTTCGATGCGCATTCTGTCCAAGAGGATTCAAGAAAACTATTCATTATGGTTGCGAAAAGGTGATAGTGGCGCTATAAGGAGTACCATAATTGAACACCTGGTTAACACTGATCATTCCATCTCAACAAACGCCTCCTTCAAAGTAATCTACAGAGTCAAGAATAACCTACCAAAGGTAATACGGTTTCGTCTTCTTTGTATTGCTGAAGCTCTGGACACTCACATAGAAAAACTGGAGCTCTGCATACAAAAAAGAAATTACTCAACAACTTTTACTATCATCGTAAAAACTGTGTTGATTTCTGATGACTTATCTGTATTTGTTTGCTTGTTCCTCTCATTGCTTTTAATTATTCTATTCATTTAGAACTCTAACGTAATTTCATATTCTCTGCTGTGTTTATGTGCATTCTGAGTACAGCTCGATCATTAAACTATTCACATTATTACGTAACTTCATCTTAATAGCCGTTTGCGACAACTCACTACCTTTGTTACTACTCTAGTTTCATTAGCATCCACTTTTCTTGATCGTTCTTGTGTTACGTAACTCCATCCAAAACTTACTAATTCTCACCCGTTTAGTTAAAATAACCATAACTAGTAGCTCACTAGCGACTGACCCTATCCAGGTAGGTAGAGTTATATAGGGTTATAGTTGGAATTCGTGACCAGTAGGGTGAGGCAGGTCGGGTGTGAGGACAAATACTCGTCAGTAATGACTTTGGCTAGTGACAGTCGCGCAATATCGTGAATTGGAAGAAGTTGGAATTCTCAATGGCCTAATTGTCTACGAGTTCGTCTTGTAACTGGAAGGTCTTCGGTCAGAATCCCGGCTGTGGGTGAGTACTGATGAAGAGTTCCAGGCATTAGAACGAAACAGCTGTCAAGTACGCACCGATGTCATTTCATGATGAAATCCTGTAACCAGGATAACCAATTGTTTGACAAACTTAATGTACACATACATAAAAAATATTTGCGATTATGCAGCTAAGAAAATGAATTCGCCGAAAAGAGACTCTTCGCTGAACTACGTTTTTTTTAATAATAGCTGGACTATTCATGAAGTAAATAAGGGCTTACCTTTTTCATAAAAAGAATATCTTGTCTTTCAGGCTTTTCAAGAATGAAGTAATTACGCAACTCATTTTCACCATATATTCTATAAAAAAGAGAGGAAAAAGAAAAGAAAAACACCAAAATTTTAATAAGAATTTACTATTATGAATGTAAAAAAATTGTTGACAGAGAATTATGAGGACAGAGTAACAGTGAACGATAGTTCAGTCAGAGTTGATGATAGTTCTGTCGATAAGCCGTGTCCAGTAAAGTCCACCAAGTTATTCATCAAAGACACTAGATGATAGGAATGTTATAAAATACGAATTAAAAGAATTTGGGAATCATAGCCCACTGGATTACAGTTAAACATCTAAGTGACCACACATTCATCAAGTGACCTGATAGTCATCGACTGGATCCTTCACAAGAGGTTGTGGATGTAATCTGTTTAAATAATCTCAAACTACAAAAACAAACAGCAATGGTAAGTTCTCTGATTTCAATGGCCAGCTAACTGACGTGGATTCGTGACCAAGTCTTTTTTGAAGTTATGCACACTTCTCTGTATACTGACTGTACTAAACAATATTTATTTGATTAAAACTGGTAAGCCAAACATTTTTTGATGATTGACAAGTCGATCACAAAACTAGATTTTTATTAATATTTTACTTCTTCATAATTATCTGTTGCCACATGCTGATATTGTATAGTGGTGGTGTAGACGGTGAATGGAAGTTGAATGCTGTGTGTGTGTGTGAACACTGTGTGATTTATCAAAATAAAATCTTATCTTGCGTCGGTGGCACAGTGGTTAGGACTCTCGCCGACCATGCACATGGTCCGGGGTTCGAGCCCACACCGGCGCACACCTGATATCTATGGTCGGCCTGCAAAATTTGGGCTACCGATATCCATGCTGAAAATTCCATACTCGTACCAAAAATACAGTGTGGAATCAAGATGTAAATAAAAAAAAAAAAAAATCCATGATGGAGTTATACTTTACCACAGTGCCCAAGTTTTATATCAATAATACATATGGTGAAGAGAAGGTTAGACGAATTTCGGACCGAATGTGACATTACAGACAATATACATTCAAATATTCATTGGATAGCAACACAAAGAGTCAGTTACTAATAGGTATCTTCATAGAAGTATTTACAAAAAAGAAAGCTTGAGAGAGTATACGAAAGCCAATAGGTATCTTTTTTAATTTAGGCCTCCCTAATGGAACATAAGGTTTCAAGCTAAAGCTTTGAAGTTTCAGTAGCAGTGTTGTTTTTACGGGGTAGGTTACTACCCCGACCTCCAAGTCTCCCTCTCTAGTGAGCTTACCACCGGCTAAGCGAGGTTTAGAAGTGCGTCGGCCAGGGAGAGAACGCTAGACCGCTTGCGTGATTCGTCAGTGTTTTACCACCGAATCACCGACGCACTCATAGGTAATTAGTAGTTTAAATTATTCACAGTGCTGATAACATGAAATCGTTGACAGTTAAACTGAGTAAGGTAGGGAGATGCAGACTTCCGGGTTGGGGCCCTCGGGACTCTAAGAATCAATGGCTGAAGACAATAGGTGACATAGCTCAAAATCGTTATCAATGGCGCAGATGTATCCAGTCTCTATAATCTTTCATATTCCTTTTTACCATTACCCATTCTGTTTCACTCTTTTACTTGTGAAACCATTAATTCTCTCCACTCATCTTCTTGTCGACCTTTGTGTGCTATTTGGAAGGTGGCAACTCGAACTGCTGCACTTCGGTGCCAAGTTCTATGTTGAATCCAGACAGACAGTGCTGATAAAAGACGCCTGTGGTAATCAAAAGTAAAGCGTACAATAGACTAGTAACTCTGTAACACAACTGTTGAAGATTGATGAAATGATACACACTCGATCATCTCTACAGGAATGAGTAGGTAATTAATTTCACAATTATTATTATCCTAATTCGTTTAGGTTCCCTATGGGACATACGGCTAACAGCAGCACACCTGAATTTCGTTCTATTTTCTCCAGTCGTCATAAGCTGGCTCCATGATTGCCTATATGATATCATCTCCTTTTAACTAGACCTCCACCATATCACACTCGGACGCCTAAATCTTAGTTTCCTATTCTCCTCAGCAAATGTCCAATGCATCTCCATCCCCTTCGGCATATTTATCGCACAATAAGTTCTTGGTTGGTTTGTTACGAGAGTTTCTTTCTTTTCTTTTTAATTCTTTTTGGTTATCTGATCTTTAGTATGGAGGGAAGGTAGTTGTTGATATAAGTCTGCAGCAAACTGTTGCGAATGCTTTTTGTGATGCACCGTATAGATGAACTAAAATTAACATTAATGTTGAAAATTCAAATCTTGTACTGCATGCTTAGTGCAGTGGACTTCCTCACTAACTTCAAGATTAATGAAGGTGAGTGGTTTTGCCCTTTCGATCCTGCCGTTAACATCTTCACCATTGACGCGTGTATAGTTGCAATGATGCTGTCTAGATAAGTGAAAGTGGTGACTTCCTTCAAAATTTCTCTCGTTAATAGTGATTAGTGCTTGTTATTCGATACAGTTGTGTTTAATCAAATCACTCAGTTTTATTGCCAAATAATACTGCACGATAGATACTCTCCAAGTCTTATTCTGAGTAATAGGCACAGAATTCTACATTTTAAAAAGACAGTATATGATGCAATAAGATTACAGGGTTCAATATTTAAAACATGCTTTACATTTTGATTGGACACTAGTAACTAGTGTGATGAGTCTAGTCCCTTCTTTGATGCGGACTGAATTCTGTCAGTCAGGTTTGTAATGTGGCCTTGCTGACAAGTGCCAACTAGCACGAAACATAGGTCCAAGGCTCCTGCCTACTGACTCCAACTATCTAATATCATCAAATCAATGTGTACCATGATGGCGAGCTACCTAGAATGCTAGCCACATTACAAACCCGGACCAAAGAAAGGACTAGACACATCACATTAGTTACTAGTGTCCAGTCAAAATACCCACTACGGTCCTACAGGAAGTCAATCACCAGCATGAATAGTTCAGTGGTAACGTCTCTGACTGCAGGCGGCACTGGGTGGCGCAGATTTGAACCTCAGAAGGAACATGAGTTTCTTCAAGGTTGCAGATACGCCTTGCTGACGGATACCAACTAGCATGAAACCTAGGTCCAAGGCTTCCTGTGGCCGATTGCTTCCGACCATCTAATGCTTTACATCTGTTGTTTGACTAACATAAGATGTGAAACAAGAAATAAATGCAAACGTCCAACTACACATTGTATGTTGTTTGAACTCAGCTACTCAAACCATATTTTCATGTATCAGGTGTCGAAGCAGTTATAACTGAACTGAATAAACCCCGTCGCTACTTTGTTATGTCTGCGCCTGTTAATTACTATAACGGTAATGAACACTAATACATCTATTTGTCTCTTGTGCCATCCGAGTCACACAGCCACGCAAATATCAAAAGACAAAGGCTAGCCTGTGACTGTGGGATAGTGTAGCGTATATCCATTACGAAACAAAACATATTTGTATATTTAATTTATTACAACAGAGTTGGCTTACAACTGTGGGAATGCACTGTTCTTATTGGCTGGATATATCTAATCTGATTGATTGGTGATGAGACAAAGACCAAGGTGAGACAAAACACGATGAATTGATCACACACTAAATCACAATATGCGTGTGAAATGATACATTAACAATTTAACTCCATCACAAGACAACTCACACGATTCGTGAGAAAGGATGACATACTATTTTGTGCTGAGTCCCATTAAAAGCACACTTGTTATATGACGGCCAGTGGTATCACTCAGTCGTTTAGACTGAAGTAGACGTAACGCGATTCAAACACTATATGTGAATGCATACCAAACTACAAGATGAAGTACAGCTGTTTTTTAACTTGCGGGACTCGGCAGTTAGGCTGCGAAGACACATACGAAATTATAGGAGAAAGGCAAGATACCAGTATAGTGACAGGGTAACTTTCATACACAGTAAATTAGCTCCAAGATTTGTCCTATTCTATGCACGTTAGGGATAACTACTTAGGATTTTTGTAGGCTTGACACACCTACACACACATACGATGGTGTGCCTTATTGTTACACTATCTTAACAGGTTGGCATTAATCTAATAATAGAGACAGTGATTGAACTTGAGACATAGTATCAAGGCCACGGCAAAATTTAAAACCTGTGAACTAAATAAAACATCTCCAGTTTAACCACAACCCCTATCCGTCTAGTCCACTTGTGTCAACTGTATAAGGATAGAAATAATTCACTGTTTTGAAAGGATTGACTTACACACTAAACAAAATGAGTAGCTGCTTTATACTATTAACAACAACAACAACCAAACTTTACCCTACTTGTTACTCAGACCGCATGAAATTTGAGTCGTGACTAAGTGTTAATGTTAATCCCTTATTCAAGTGATACAATTTGCTATAGATTTGAAAAAAAATACTTATCATAGAGAAATGAAATATAATTCCATAGCCTGTACTTCGTTTTCGCTCTTAGTGTACATACATATAAGTTTGTTAGTTCTCAAAAAGGAGTGGTGAGAGACATTTGCCATATTGAATCATTTTCACACCAGACACACATATTTTCTCTTGTCAATAGATCAATGAGCAGCCAATCGCACCACTTCTTTTACTTAATGTTACTATTACTACTACTACTCACTTATTTCATACAATGTTCATGTATTTTCATAAATATTCAACTAATAATGACTACAACAATCCAATAGTCACGTATAATTCTATATTATGGGTGACTGTGAACAGTTATTGTCTTTTTAGAGTGACGGTGTATGAGTGCACTGTTTTATTGTCCAACCAATTATCTAAATAATATTGTTTTCATTTACTGTACAGTATATATGAAAAAAGTTCACTATCATTAAAATTATACAAAAATGAAAAATATCTTCACGCATAACAATTGAATTGAAAACACCTCTTTTTTTTTATTACAGCTTGATTCCACACAGTACTTTTTGGTAGAAGTATGGAACTTCCAGCATGTGATATCGGTAGCCCAAATTTTGCAGGCCGACCATAGATATCAGGTGTTCGTCGACAGGGGATCGAACTCCGGACCATGTGCATGGTCGGTGAGAGTCCTAACCGCTGTGCCACCGACGCACACCTCGACCTTTTTAGTCATCTTATTCCTTTACTGACAAACTTGAAGGGAATATACATTATAAGACAAGTGGTAGTTGAGCGCCAACCATTCCGAAGCTGAATGCAATATTAGGCTATAATGCTGTTAACAAGTGAACAGTGTCACCATTTAATGGGGTAAGGGAAGCAATAAATCAGTTCACTCATGTAGTTGATGAGTTACACTCTGCATCTATCTGACCATGTTCAATCCTTTTGAGGTAGACCTACAGAATAAACTCTTGTCAAACTTCGACCTCCATCTTGTCTACACGAGAAGGGTGTATCTACATGTCGACTAATTGTCAGGTTTTTTCTTCAACTTACCTCTCAGTGAAGACAAAACATATATATATATATATATATATATATATATAACTTACCGAACAGTTAATAGTTGTTCTGTATTCCCATGCCGATCAATTAAAGTGTGCAATATTTTCTGTACAATTATACGTATCACAGGATCTGGATCAATAGCAACACCACGTAATAAAAGATTCAAGAAATCAGAATTTAATGCATTCGATATAGCCACTGTTTTATATTGGGTAGCAACAGTTAGCATAGTTTGCAACAGGACCATAATTAAGGGTTTCGGTCGATCACCATATTCTGGATGATAACTGAAATGAGAGAGAAAAAAATATTATGTATGCACATTAAAATTAAAAAAGCTGAAGGATATTTTGTAACTATCAAAATCACGACTGGTTATACTAGACGGGTATAAGTTATAATGTAAACATTCTAATTGTCTGCAAAAAGGGCCTAAACATTGTGTCTATTAGAAATTTACGTATATAACACATGCGTATACACATACACAAAGTAAGAAGCTTAGATAATCACTTATTGCCCCAATTTCTTCCAGGGGTGTGCCCCGAAACGGCCTGGTACGGTCGAAGGTGGGTAGACTACGGTTATCCTCGTAAAATGCTTTCTCGTGTAGCCATACATTGAAAGCCTCTACCACGTAAATGCTATTCACTGCCTTTCTCATAAAAATGGGAAGGGGAATGCAAACTTCCGGTGCTCACAACCGGACTGGTGGACAAGAAGGTTTAGCCAGGTGATCTGGAAAATCCTGATTCCAAACCTATGGTATACACGGATCCCAGGATCCGAAAGGATCGAATGGTGAATAGACCGAGTTTGGTTACCGATGACCATAGGAAAATACCTCCTGACGCTACGATGTAGATCATACTTCAAGTTGAAGGCTGGAGAGACTGTCCTTACGACCTCACACAAACTGTAAGATCTTGTGTGGTGCATCTCTTGGTCCTCATAATATATCAAGATTGTATTTTAACAATAAGGGGTTGGATTCTTCCCAATAATTCATGAAAAAGAAGTATTAAGTGGGAAAATTGTTTGTGCAATTATACTAGTCACAAGGCAGTGTAATCAGATGAATGCTATGGGAAAAAAGGTTACAATAAGATTTATCACTTCATACATTTGAAGACTTGAAAGGGGAAATTCTTTTACGGTAAAAGACTAAAGAATTATATAGCATGCATTACAAAATTTCATGCCGGATCGGCCGTGGCCCGGATTAACAACGACCGCGCTTCCTGCTGCCGTGTCACAGGGCGGGAGTGATAAATCTGCTACTGAGACACACCAAACAAAAAAGAACGAACAAAAACAGGCCTCAAGCAGTTGTCCCCTGGGCTCTGCGGTCACGCAACCAACTTCCACGGTGTGGGCAGCCGGGAAGTAACAATCGCCCTCACAATCCGAAATGCACACGAAACCTCTCTATTACTCACTCATCTTTGTCTTCATCTTCATCTCTATCATCTTGCCTTCCTTCCACTGATGCAACTCCTCGACTTGATAGCTCTCCACTTCCTCTCCACTCTGCGTCCACTAAAAACGATGGAAGCCAAAAAACCACCACCGACAGCCTCTTAAAGCCGCGCCACCAATTTCATATAGGAGCTCTTAATGTTAGGACACTTTGCCAAATAGGACAACAAGCATCACTAGCCAAGACCCTGGCATCACGAGCCATTGATGTATGCTGTGTTTCAGAAACACGCATACAAGACCCAAGTGTGGTTATTCACCTAACCCCACCTGGCCAACAGGTTGAATCTGCAAAATTCACCTTGAGGGTGTCAGGAGATGCCACAGCTAGTTCACGAGGATTAGCTGGCGTAGGGATAGCTTTGAGTACTAGGGCAGAAAAGACATTGCTTGACTGGATCCCGGTAGATAGCCGAATGTGTGCTGTCCGCCTGAACGGATCAGTAAGAAGGAGGAAGGACTGCACTACTCGCCGATGCCTTTTCGTAATCTCCGCCTACGCCCCCACTGACTGCAGTTCAGATGAAACGAAGGATGAGTTCTACCAAAAGCTGTCTAGTTTGGTGGAAAGGCTAAACGCTCAGACATAGTCGTTCTAGCTGGTGACTTTAACGCTCAAGTAGGGAAATTGTGTCAATCTGAGAAGGATGTCGGTGGCACCTATGGAGTTCCGTGCCAGCGAACCGACAACGGTGACCGTCTCCTACAGTTCTGCTCTGATAATCATTTGTTTCTTGTAAGCACTAACTTCAAACACAAGGAGAGACACTGTTTGACTTGGAGACCCCCTTCATCAAACCAACGCTGGACACAAATAGACCACATAGCAATAAGCTATCGTTGGCGTGGGTCGGTAGGAGATTGTCGCTCCTTCTGGAACACGTGCGTAGATACCGACCATGCACTGGTCCGCGCTCGGGTGTGCTTACGACTGAACGGACGTAGGAAACAGCTGGCGGTAAAACCATCACGTCCCCAGCTCGATCAGGAAACTAAATCCGTATTTCAGGAAGAACTAGCTAAACACATATCTGTGTTCGACAGCTGTGCTCACCCTGAAGAAGCTTGGAAAAATATCCAGGCAGCCATAGATACAGCTGTAAAAGCTGTGAATAAGGTAAACCCAAAGGTGAGTAAAAACCACTGGATCTCCACCGCCTCATCCGAACTGATAGATGCTAGAAGACTTATTCCGGCGAGCTCCGAATTCAATGAGGAGCGAAAGCTGCACAAGAGGAAACTTACGAAAAGTCTCCGCAAGGACCGTGAACAGTGGTGGGCGACAAAAGCCAAAGAGATGGAGAAAGCTTCGAGGATAGGCAACACCAGGCAACTCTTTGGACTCATCAGGGAAACGGGTGGGAGAAGACAAATCATCAGTGAGACAATCTCGGAAAAAAATGGCACTATAATTAGCTCCCAGGATAGACGACTGGATCGTTGGAAAGAGCATTATGAGGAGCAGTTTAATTTGCCCACAGCCACGCTCAACCTTCCGAGCATCCAACACCTCCCTGAATGGGATATAAACACAGGTCCTCCGTCACTAACTGAGGTTACTAAAGCTGTCACCAATCTGAAACTAGGCAAAGCAGCGGGACCTGATGGAATGACTCCAGAGGTATTTAAGTACGGTGGAGACAGCTTACTGTCCGGATTAACTGAGGTACTAGGCAGCGTCTGGGAATCAGAAGAAGTCCCATCGGGTTGGTGTAAGTCACTGATTATCCCCATATACAAGAAGGGAGACAAGTCTTCCTGTGATAATCACAGAGGGATTAGCTTGACTAATATAGTATCTAAAGTCTTAGGCTCAATAATCATGCGTAGACTGAGTGGTGCTCGGGAAGCACAAACACGAGAGAGCCAGGCAGGCTTTAGACCAGGAAGAGGGTGTATTGATCATATCTTCACCCTCCGACAGATTCTAGAACATAGGCATTCCTACCGGCGTCCAACAGTCATTATATTTCTTGACCTAAAGGCAGCATTCGACTCTGTCGATCGGGAAGTTCTCTGGAGATGCTTGGCTGTAAAGGGAATTCCAAGAAAATATATTGCACTGATTAAGGCACTCTATTCGTACTCATACAGCCAGGTGAGGGCTTACGGCGAGCTGTCATCTGAACTGATGACGACCAGTGGTGTCCGTCAAGGATGCCCATTATCTCCTTTTCTATTCAACTTCATCATAGATGTGTTAATGGACTTAACCCTAGGTGACTTCAGCGACTCAGGGATTGACTTGCTACCGGGGAATAATCTCGTTGACTTGGAATATGCAGACGATATAGTCCTTCTAGGCGAAGACGCTGACGAAATGCAGAGTCTTCTAAACACCTTGAGCCGCAATCTACGAATGTTTGGCATGCGATTCGCTCCCGCCAAATGCAAGATGATGTTACAGGACTGGACTACATCGACGCCTAGTTTAAAAATAGGAAGTGAAGTGGTAGAGCACGTTGACCGCTTCACTTATTTGGGAAGTACCATCAGCCCCAACGGGCTGATCTCTGACGAAATCTCAGCACGAATACAAGGGGCTCGTTTCGCATTTGTTAGTTTACGCCGACTCTGGCGTAGACGAGATGTTCGACTATCGACCAAAGGGCGGGTGTACTGCTCATCAGTCCGCTCCGTCCTCCTTTATGGTTGTGAGACCTGGCCACTGAGAGTGGAAGACATGAAAAGACTAGCTGTCTTTGATCATAGGTGCCTGCGTTCTATTTCCCGTGTAAAGTGGCATAATAAGGTGAGCAACATGGAGGTTAGGCGTAGAGTTCTAGGTAAACAGGGGAAATCAATCGACGAAGTCGTGAAGCTACAAAGACTGAGATGGTTAGGACATGTGTTACGTATGCCAAGCCATCGCCTCCCTCGACGAGCAATGTTAGCGGATATAGGGTCAGGCTGGAAAAAAGCTAGCGGCGGTCAAACAAAAACTTGGCATCAGTCAATGAAATCCACAACAGTTGGTCTAAGCCACGTAGGAAGGTGTAGACTTCCAGGCTGGGGTCCTCGGGACGGTAAAAATCTATGGTTGGAAACAATTGGTGACATGGCTCAAAATCGTTCTCAGTGGCGCAGATGCATCCACTCCTTGTGACTTATGATCTTCAATGAAACTGTTTTGTATTTCTTTATTACTCCTTTGTCTCACACCTCTGCTCACTGTTTCTATTATGCTTTTCTTGTACTTTCTTCTCTTGCTTCGCGTGCTACACGGAATGTGGCGACTTGAACTTCCGCACATTTGTGCAAAGTTCTATGTCGAAAACAGACAGACAGATAGCATATATAATACTTACTTCACCATAGGTTCAAAATTCAATATAAATTTCAGTATTTCAATCTTTTGTGTATCTGGTAGATTTTTAGCAAATTCAGCGATTGTATTGATGATTGCCTCCTGAAACTGACGTTCACCAGTTAATTTACGACTAGAATCATTGAATGAGGAGGACTGTTCGGGATGGTCAGATATTTGTGGAGTTTTATCAATACTAGCCTTTAAAATCTACAAGAGAAAAGAAATTTGGTAATCATGAAAAACCAAACGTATTTGTATAATGCATTTGCTTATCGAATCATAACAAAATCAGTTTAGAGGTGACTATATATATATAGGCATTCATCTGCTTCCTAGTATTCTTCACTAACTAAAAGTAACCGATTTCATTTGACCACTTTTATGTTCATCTACCAATTCAATTGTTTCTGCGGAGCGAGATATATAGGTCGTTCAATACATGTTTTATCTAAAAGAGCCGAGGGACATTATTCCACTCAGTTAAAGAAAGGTTATAATGGGTGAATACGCAGTGCTATAATTGAACACACACTTAACACTGGCCACTACTCAGTATGTATAGCAAGTCCATTCACAGTTACTTACAAGGTCAAAAGAGGCTTCTCCGTATAACTTTGCATTACTGAGGCTTTAGCAATCCTCATAGAAAACCATAACTTATGCACATGAAAGAAACTTCTCAATCCCCTTCTTCTACCTTACATATAATTCCAAGAGCAGCTGTTATCAATATATCATACTAATTAGTGCATTTATTTTGATAATTATCTCCAAGAGCTTCCATTAACATCCAGTTTTTCTGAACGTCTTCCACGTCGCCCGATCTTAGTTTAGACTTAATAATACTCACCCCCAACTCTAGTTACAATTTAGATTATTACTCAATGTTTTGAAATATCTTGATGGTATAAACAATGCTCACAAACAACTTTTTTCTTCTTGTGCTAAGTAGGCTTGACAGACGGAATGTAAACATATGTACGAAAACTATATATATATATATATATTTGCGACTGTACAACTAAGTGAGTGAATTCACCCGAAAAATGAATCTATTCCACGAACTATTTGTTTTTATTACCATAACTGTAACCACAAATTATCAGCATGATAAAATCCATCTTAGAATTATTAAAACAGGAAGTGTGTGTGTTTATTAGCATTTTTTAAAATTAATAATTTGCCTGACAAAACGGCATGTAAAGGGCTGAAACAGAAAAATTAACAGCAGATAATAATAATGCAGGTAGCAAGGAGGCGACTACAGAGCATAAGGGAGTGTCACTTAACGAAATGTATCGAAACAAGGTAGGTATAGTCTTTGGAAGTCTCAAAATCTTGAAAAAACACATGTAAATATATCAAGTAATAAGAGAGGTGTAGGTTGTGAGGTGATTAGTTCAGTGGAGAGGAACAAGACGGCTTCTATTACTCGCCAAGACTACGGTTCCAAAGAAATTATACGTTGAGACATAAACTACTTGTGAGTAGTTTAATTTTTAAAATTGTAAATTCATCCATGTATTAAAGTACTGAACTGAGCACAAAACATCTTAATTACTTGTTTATGTAGTAAAATCTGAATGTTTCAGAGTTTCGTTATTTAAAAGAAGCCTAGGTGAATGAATATGAAAAGGTACGAGAGAGTAATATTTCCTTTGAAAATTTGACTCAAATGAAAGATAAGATAACGCAACTTCTAAATACCCAAATTCTTTCAGTATTTTGTTTTGTTGAGGTTCAATTGCAAATGCTCCGACAGTAGGAAAGTTAGGAAACTAGTACACAAAAGTGATGAATAACACTCACTAAGAAAGTGTGGCAGCGCAGAATTAGACTACAAAATTGTGTTTCCACAAGACCACTCAAATAATTTCAGCTGAAAATCAGTATTTATTTTAATTTCAATCCATCATCGAATTACAGAAATTTATTTTGCCTAAATTTCAAAACCCTTAGTGAGAACCACAAAACATGGCGCTTATAGAGGACATACTGATCAAAATAACATATAATCAACGAGGTGAAGTAGGTCAGATTGCAGTGTTGATTATAAGGATCTCAGTCAAGAGAAGTTACGTGAAAAGCTTCTTCTCTGTTTAATATCCTAACGGATTGGTATGTCCCCACTTGATGTCCAATTTTACGTTCTCATAAAGTAATCAAGTAATACGCTGATAGTGATGCAATTTTCCGAAATACGGTCGTATGAGACGATAATTCTAAATTGATTGCAGTGACTGAATCAGCGTCAGTTCATTAGGCGGAAATCAAGACGAGGCTTTGCAGCTATCGATTGGTTTCATGACTTGATCTGTTCAATTCCGAAGTTTTTTAAACTTCATCTTTCCTGCTGCTGTTCACCTAACTAGTTAGCCAAGGTACGTTGTCGTGGGAAGTACTCCAACCAATCACTCAAATTGATGAAAATTCATAAATTCATCGACTGAATTATCCACACTATAATTAGCGCTCAAATTTCAACCAGATTACCATTCAGCTATGGGTTCCCGAACAGCTCTAGCATCTTATGATCAAAGTCTGCTGTCTATCATAAAGTGAGAGTAGGACAGAGAGATTGCTAGTAATTTAACTACACATGATTAATTGTAGTGGACCCCAATTTCGTTTGGAGTGGCACAACTTATCAAAAAAAAAAAAAATGGAATAGTCAGACAGAGTTAAATCACTTCCCAATTCATATCCGAAAATCTAGACGACGGTGTAAACTGATCCCATTGCACTACTTGGAATTCAACAGGTGCATAAAAACACTCGTATTTTATCTAGGGTATACAAACTTAACAAAACTGTTACGTGACAAAATCAATGATTCATCTCACAAAAGAGTCAGAATTGTACATAGTTGTATTTATCATCATATCTATGAGCTAAAGTTGAATAGAGATGGATAGATATAAATAGGATAAATATAGGGCAAGGGGAGACACAGCATTCTAATATCATGCTAACAAAGGTGGTAGGTAGTAAACACATTTTTCCATGGGTTGATTTTGTCTGTGCTTTCTAATATACTATCTTCTTTAACACAAGACAAATACAGATGATAGATAAGAATTTCTAATTCTCGAAAGATGTTGAAAACAACAGTTACCCTCAGAGGTTCATTAACAAGTACGGAGGATGTGATGGCTTAAACATCAAACAAGAAAAAAGCCTGTCTTTATTCAACTTGATTTTATAGGTGATAATATTGCAGTAATAATCGCAAGAAGATAGGATATGTCACTAGCCAGTGTCTATCCCGCAACTGTGCAGCGGCGGCACAGTGGTTAGGACTCTCGTCGACCATGCACATGGTCTGAGGTTCGACCCCCTGTCGACGAACACCTGATATCTATGGTCGGCCTGCAAAATTTGGGCTACCGATATCACACGCTGAAAATTCCATACCTGTACCAAAAAATACGGTGTGGAATCAAGCAGTAATCCAAAAAAATAAAAATAAAACTAAGTTGGTTTCCGTTTATCGAACATGCTCTTTGGTGCAATCATGTTAACTCCGACTGTGTATACAAATTTACACGTATTTGCGGGAGCAGTTACATTGAGAGAACATAAAGAAGGGCGTATCTCAGATTTTATGACCATGTACCAAATAGCCTACTTTTCAAGGGAACAAATGCTTTCAACAGTGCCATTGTCAGTCATTTTCTTGACACAGGTCATGAGGTGGAAGTCGCAAGATAGTTCGAAATCATCAATAGGCAACAGAGTTCAATTCTCCTCAAGCTAGCTAAAGTAATCTCCATCAAGCGGCTAAAACCCGATTTATGCGTTTGTAAAGAAGCGGTTATCAGCATTTTCTTGCCCTGGTAATCAGATGTTTTAATTATCTCTTTCATTTGATCCCGTAACGTCAAAAATTCACTTCTGAATGAGTATTACTGTCTGGATAAAGTTATTATTATTATTATTATTATCAGAGTATGTATAGATCGATTTTTTGTTTAAAAAAATGAAATCTCAGTGTACGTTAAAATTGCTTCCCTACATAAACTTAATACTGCCTTTAGACTATAAACAGATGATGAGAAGCCAACGAAGTAACCTATTGTACCATTTTATTCTGCACAAACTGTTGTTCTGGCACTATTCAGAATAATAATAATAATAATAATTCAATATTTAATTTTAAATTATTTACAACAAACGAGAAGTTATTTCAGTTAGTTCTCGAAACTGAAATTTTATCTGATTGCAATTAAACAACTTACTACTTTTTCTCGTTTTCAGCGGTTTAACTTAAAAGGATTGAATCGAAATTATTGATTGGTTTCTAATAATCACCACAAACCAATTGCATGATTGTTTTGTAATTAACTTCACCCGAAAACGAATGAATAGTCGTTTAATATATATATATATATTTTGCGAGGTTCGTTACTTGACTACGGCTAATATTTTTTATGCATAACAACGTCCCTATGGATTCACGTAAATATCAATGTGCACCGTGATGTCCAGCTACCTAGAATGGTGGCCACATTGCAAACCTGACTGATAAAATTCAGTCTGCACCAAAGAAAAGACTAGAAACGTCACACTAGTTACTAGTGTGCAATCAAAGATAACGATTGTTGGACGCCGGAAGTATGTCACCTGTGCTCCAGAATCTGTCGAAGGGTGAAGATATGATCAGTACACCCTCTTCCTCGACCAAACCTGCCTGGTTCTCTCTTGTTTGTGCCTCCAAAGCCGCACTTAGTCTACGCGTAATTATCGAACCTGGAACTTTAGATAGCATATTAGTCGAGCTAATCCCCACGTGATTATCACAGGAAGAATTGTTTACCTTCTTGTATATCAAGTTAATTAATGACCTTTAACAGCCTGACGCGACCATTTCCCACTCCCAGACGCTGCCTAGTACCTTAGTTAACGCAGACAGTAAACTGTCTCCACCGTACTTAAATATCTCTGAAGTCATTCCATCAGGTCCCTCAGCTTTGTCTCGTTCCAGATTAGTGACAGCCCTAGTAACCTCAGTTAGGGACGGAGGACCTGTGTCTACATCCCACTAATGGAGGTGTTGGATGCGCGGTAAGTTGGGTGTGACTGCAGGCCAATTAAATTGCTCTTCAAAGAGTTATTTTCAAAGTTTCAGTCGCCAATCCTAAAAGCTAATTATGGTGCCATTTTTCTCAGAGATTGTTTCACTTATCGTTCGTGTTTTACTACCTGTTTCCCTGATAGGTCGAAATGGTTGTCTGGTGCTACCCATCGCCAATGTCTTTTCCACCTCTTTCCCTTTTATCGTCCACCACTGTTCACGGTTGTTGCGAAGACATTTCAGATCAGTTTGCGTTTGAATGCCTTCCTCTCCTCATTATATTTGAGCTCGCCAGAATCAGTCTTATTACGTCAATCATTTTGAATAAGGTGGCAGAAACCCAATGGCTCTTACTAACTTTAGGTTTCAGGTTATTAACCACTTTTACGGCTATGTCTACGGCTTTGTGTAGTAAATTAGACGGTTTCAGGTAGAAGTCATCCTTTAGTTCATTCGAAATGTAGTCGGCTGGGGCGTAAGCGAAGACTGTGAGAAGACAAGGGCGAGTAACGCCGTCCTTCCTTCTCACAGACCCATTCAGACTGGCTACTAGGATCCAGTTAAGACGTGATTTTTCTGACCTAACACTCAATGCTATCACTACACCTGCGAGTCCTCGCGAAATACGCGAGGAGTCTCCTGACACATTTAAGGTGAATTTTGTAGATTCACGTTGGAGACCTGATGGGATTAAGTGAATGAACACACTCCGGTCTTGTATGTATGTCTCAGAGACACAACATACAGCCATGGCTCGAGATGCCAGAGTTCTGTCTAGTGGTGCCTGTTGTCCGATTCGGCAGAGGCTTTTGGTGTTAAATGCTCCTATATGAAGTTGGCGACGTGGCTTTAAGACGCTGTCGAGAGTGTTTCTATGGCTGTCATCGTTGTTTGTGGTCACAGAGTGAAGATGACTGACTAGATTGCAGAATAGTACTGACAGTGTAAGGGAAGCAAAATGATGAGGTTGACAGGGATAAAGGAGTATGATGATCAGGAGGGTTTCGTGTGCTTTTTTAGGTGTGTGGGTGGTTGTTACTCCTCCGCTTCTCACATCGTGGAAGTTGACTGATTCTTCAGGTGGCTGAAACAGAAAGAGAATTAGTGACCGCAAAGCCCGGGGGACAACTGCTTGAGGCCGGCTTGTCTGAACTGGTTATTTGGTATGATTCCGTATCAGTACCTTACCACCGTCTACGGACCACAGTAGGGTAAGTCGGGATGTACAATTTTTGATGTCGACCATTTTTAACCTTCTTTCTCCGGAATGGAGAGACGATATAGCTGGCTGGTATGCTGGTCATCTGAAGAAAATAGCTCATTGCTGTTACATCGCTATACCCCAGAAGTACGACTTCACTCACAGACCCCCAGCATAATGTGCCGGTAACTACTTTTAGTATGATCGCTATTCTAACAACCTTCCTGACATGGTAGGACCCGCACGAACAATAGTTCCAGCCAGTGTAGCTTATTGGGTCATTGGGATATACAAGCCCGACCATCACGTCAAGGTAGCAGGTATCAGTCACGTGCTGTTTTTAAGAGGTGGGTTGTTAGCCCCACACTCAACTTTCCCTCTTTTACCGAGCTTGCTACCCGCTTAAACGAGATTTAGGAAAGCATCAACTGGCAGCGGAACCCGGACCATCTGCGCGTCGTTGTCGGCACATTTTCTACCAGTGAACCAGAGGCACACACAGATACGTCTATTTACACCCATTTCAATAATGTACGCACAAATCCTACTATTTCTTGTACATACACACATAAAGAAAGGAAATGTCATTCATCTCATTGATATCTCATTATGATTCTTTGTGTGTGTCTGCCTGGGTAGCATGAAGCCTAATTCTTATACTGAAAGATACCAATCATTGCAAGAAATTCTAGTTTTTTCCCCAGTTTTATTAAAGTCATCGGATAATTAGCAGAGTAAAACTGTGTGGGCTTAACGGACAGATGAGAAGAAGGCGGATATTATTGATATATTATTATCATCATTATTGTCCATGCACTAAATGATCAATATTATTGCTAATCAGAGGTCTGTGGTAAGGTATTGGAGATTATTTACGGCTCACAGTGTAAAATAATTTATATAATAAGTGGTTTAGACAAGCTGATGTTTTACAGAAAGACAGAAACAGAACTGTTGACGTAAGCCACGAAAAAGAAAAAATAATCACACATACACACACGATTAAAGTAGAAAAATAAAATTTTCATTTCAAGACTGAAAAAAAGATACATCGTTTTTAAAAAACTGCAATTGAAGATTTGCTTAGTGTTCACTACAAGTCAAGAAAGGTCGGCATAAGCAACGGCTAGTAAAGAAATGATCCATGTTCCAAAGGTTCGTAGTCCCGTCCAAGATTATAGACGAAAAAGTAGGAATTTAATTCTATCTATTTTCATTTCGGTTAGTGGGTGAGGTGGGGGGAGGTTAGAGTAAATATCAAACAAAAGTGAATAAAATAAATTAGGAAATATACCACATTGTCTACAAACTCACCAAGCTGTGCTAAGAAGCATTAAGAAGTATAAAATTTGCAAAACTCACTTGAAGTAAAGATTTAAAATTGTGAAATACATCCGGTCCAATTGCACCTTTTGCCAAATTGATTACAGTCAATCCTATAACCTGAATTACACGAAGATAGTAAACTTATTTAAATGGTCTGAAAAGGAGTAATTTATATGAAAGGAAGTGCATACACATGATCTTTTTGTTTTCATTCAATTTCACGGGAAGTGACACTCCCTTGGAGAGCTTCTTTAGTCGGCTAAGTGTATGCAGACAGCATGACTTACTGTTTATCAGATAAAACTCTTGACAAAATGCAATCTGGACAAATAAAGCAGAATACTGTTGTGGTCAGCAATTTACGGATACTTAAACAAATGAATTGAGCATGTTTCAAAGATACGCCTTAAGGAGTAACATACATGCACACATATGAGGTGTGGTATGATCCAGTCGGTAGGGTAGGCCACCTACTTGACTTAGGTCCCGACTTCATTAACACTTATGATTACTTATGAGATTATCTGGTGACAGTAGACAACTTTGAAAGCCTTGTTAACATCAATCTTATTTTCTGTATAAACGACATGAAATAGTATAGAACTATGAGTGAAGTTTATTTGTCCTTTACTTAACCACGCAGGATGGTGCTTGGGTGTCCAACGATAAACACGCCTAATTGTACAGCCTATGTAACTGGGTCCACAGGCGTAGTCAAACTGATACATGCACAGAGAAGAGTAGAAATTACATAGTTTATCTTCAACACTCGGATGTAAAATAGGAGTGCTTTTGAAGGGACAGCATTTTTTCTGCTCTTTTTACCGCATTCCTTAGGCGGTGTGTTAATATCTCACTGATGTTATCCCCAAGGAACTGAAGTTGTAAGGACAAGGTCTTCTTCATAACTGTTTGTACTTTAGCCTGCCTTGACTTTTGATACATATTCTTATCAACGAATTTTTCTGGGTAGCCATTCTCACTCAGCAACAGTTTAATAGTATTAAGCTCTTCATTAAGACATCGATCAGAGCAGATTGTTCTGGCTCTGTAGACCAAACACTTTATTGGTTTGGGTTTGTATTTCAAAGGTATGAAGCTGAAAAAATGAGTATACTAACCAGTTGATGTAGGTTTCGTATATACACGTTTTATTGTACCGTCCTCTTTTCTAGTCATAAGGACGTCTAGAAATGAAATATTAGAGATTCTTTCTTTCTCGATGATAAAATTTATTGAAGGATGGACATCGTTAAATTTTTCAAGGATGTTCTTTGCTGCATCCCTATTTTTCATAATCAAAAATGTACCATCCATGTAGCTACAGTAGGATTCTAGTTCATCAATTCCATCTTTCAAAAGCCCATTCTCCAGTTTTTTAAGGGAAATGTTGGCTAGAATAGGTACCAGTGGTGACCTCATTGTCACATTATCAATTTGTCTGTATATTTCCTTATTAAATAAAAAGTGAACATTCATTGTGCATTTCAAAAGAAGCTCTTTTATGGAGGATATAGGAATGCCGACACCCATATTCCGTCTAATAAGTCTTTTGTATACAAATTTTCCCGTTTTCCATAAGTGGTACATTGATGAAGAGGGCAGATACGTCGAACGGTGTCATGAATCTACTATTTACATTTAAATCTTTTATATTTTCAAAAAATGCAAAAGTGTCTTTTACTCTGTGTTTCACCAATTCATTGCGTAGAGGCTCCAAGAGTTTGACTAACCATTTGGCTCAAACTGATCAGTGTAACGTATCTGTGAGCATGATTGGTTCCAAAACAATCCTGTTAACAGTGAATACCGGTCTAGTTACTATGATGAACTTTAAAATTTAATCAAAAAAAGCATTTACCAATGCATATATCAATGCTTACCTGAACTAAGCTGGTACGCTCGGCTAATGTGAAATCTGATTCGTGGGAACTAAGGTGAGCAACCAACTGTTTGACTAAACTATGGGCAACTTGTGTCGTCTACAAGAGATAAAGTGAAAATATATATTCATAATACAAATAAAAAGAATGTACGTAGATGAAAGAATAAGATCTGATGAAATCATTATAAACCATTATGGTTGATATGCTAAACAGTATCAGATAATATTTACTTTGAAAGGTAGGTGGGATACAATAAAACTAAACATCTAGGTGACTGTGTGTATTTGTTAGTTTATACGTCGACACAAACAAAAGAGGTTATTCAAAAGAAAAACAATAATAAACAAAGGAAATGAAGTGAATAACTTTTGTACCTACTACTACTGTGGTGAGAGCAGGCTGCTAGCCGATTGGTTGGCACTAATCTACGTTAAGGTCTAGGTCACTAATATGGGCCGTGAGAAAATATGAACAAGCCTGAGTCAACAACCAATCACAGCAAAGTTAACGTGGCAGAATATGATTCGCAGAGAGAACTCTATTTGTCAAGGAATCCCGAAACAACCAATCAGAAGCCTGCGTTTGTCTACCTAAACAACCAATCAGATGACTGCGCTTGTCTATAATAATGTAGTTGAAAGATGTATAAATACGTGTTGATTTTCATAATAAACGATCTGTTGCTTCGCCCTTGTCTTCTGTTGTTACATTTGGTGTCGCTGCCTACCGACAAATGAAAAGCCTATACCCTGCAGTTTTTGATGGAGACATATGGATCTTCGGGCAGGACTTCAAGGCTTCTGCGCAGTTGAGTGGCGTTCAAGATCTGTCAGCGATGGAGCTGCTACTTGAGACGCTGCTGGGAGGTCGGGCGAAAGCAGCATATGAAGGTGTGGGCCGAAGTATGGACGAATGTTCGACAGGGTCAGGCAAACAGTTTCCAAAGTGGGAAGGATCATATATGGTCACTTCGAGATGGGGTTACGCAGACACAGTCGCAATGGCGAACAATGAGAGGCGCGTGAACGTCAGCGAGCTCCAGAAATGGATACAGCGAGACAAGCCAACGATGACGCCTGCACCAAGTAGATCAAGCCGACTTCAGTCGCACGTATTTGACGGGGGGACGAGTGTGGTGAGAGCAGGCTGCTAGCCGATTGGTTGGCACTAATCTACGTTAAGGTCTAGGTCACTAATATGGGCCGTGAGAAAATATGAACAAGCCTGAGTCAACAACCAATCACAGCAAAGTTAACGTGGCAGAATATGATTCGCAGAGAGAACTCTATTTGTCAAGGAATCCCGAAACAACCAATCAGAAGCCTGCGTTTGTCTACCTAAACAACCAATCAGATGACTGCGCTTGTCTATAATAATGTAGTTGAAAGATGTATAAATACGTGTTGATTTTCATAATAAAACGATCTGTTGCTTCGCCCTTGTCTTCTGTTGTTACACTACTACTACTATTGCTAATAACTTGCAGGTTGCCAAGTTGTTAGAATACATTCCGACTATTATATCCAGTTTAAGTATCGTTCCATGTATATGAACAACAGGTAAACTCGACTCAGCAAACCTAAAGACACCTCCATGACCCCAGCAATGAATGAATTACTATCTGACTACTCAAACCTCAATGAAGTATACCAGGATTTAAGCATGTGACACAGTCAATTCAAATCTGTTGACAAAGTTAGCTAACCACAATCCTTCATAACAAATACTTTTAGCCCAGATATCTTGGTGGTTAACCCCTTCACAGCAGTGTGCACATATCAAGTGAAAATGCTTGCATGGTTAACCAGGAGAGAATCTGTCGACGTCCGAACATACATTATCAATAGCACTGAGATCTAATGGCTCAAATTTCGGAAATCTGCCCTTCATCTAGTCAGATATTTTTGTTTTTCCCTACCTGAGAAGTGGAAACAGTTCAACAGATTATTGGCATACTGTTAGAATGTAGTCGTGGTGTGAGTCGTCCGTGGTTCAGTAGTAAAATACTTAACAGTCCCACATGGGAGATGCAGGTTCGATTCCCGACGGATGCACACTTCTGAAACTGGAGCTTATTTTACTAACCGGCGGTAAAAGGAAAGGCTGGGAGTGAGATCAACAACCGCACGCTATAAAAACTACGCCACGGTTACTGTAACGACAAAACTTTGAAGCCTTATAATCTACTCATATCTCAAAGAATGGAAATAAAAACTGACTTGATAACATTATGGATACAGTTTATTGGTATTCTCAATTATGACTCAGTCAAGAAGTCATTTGAATATAGTTGTGAAGGATAAATATAATTACTGTCATATAGAACCTGACAAGCAAACTAACAAAAGGATATGGCTATCTCGTGTTCACTGTCCGAGTGATTCGTATTCGCATATTACCCAATAACTGCATCTATACATAAATGACATGTCACATGGAAATCGATACAGATGTTTATTTTTGGATACTGATACAAAAATTATCGATTAGCGTGAAAAGGGGTCGCTACGCTAAGCATAACCCGCTAATTTTGTAAGCTTTATTGCGGTACTGGTTATCGACTAAACGGGAAGTCTTGGCCTACAACAGGTCTCCCGGGTTAGATACAAGTTGTCATCGACCGGTATCTCCTGTTTCAACAAATCACATGTTTCAATCATGCACCAATAAGTCGTGTACATTATTTATTTTTAATATTGAAAAATTTATCCTAATTTATAAATCAGTTAGTTGTAAAGCCATCAAACTAAGGTAGTTTAATAAAAATTGATTGATTACACAAAAATTCTTATTGTTGAATATCAAAATGGATAGAATGCATAAGTGAACCGATGCTTCAAATTTTAAATTAACTTTCAATATCCAACAATAAGTTTGTTTTTCCGCATAAATCAAAAAAGGAGGGCATAAACTAAAAGAAAAGAAAAGAAAAAACACAGAATCTGTCTAGAAATGCTTGTATTGAATTAGTTTCAAACCAAATATAGATTTTCAGTTGGGGATGAGGGTAGGCATTAACCTCGATCTATTTCTCTATCCACATTCTCATACAGTTAATTTATTATGTAACTAATGAGAAGAAATATGAAGTTTCTTTTTTTTTCTATACACAAACTTTAAAGACAAAAGAAGTAGTGAATATGCATACAAAGATATAAACAACACACAACATATACTGGTTTTTGAGCAAATAGTTCCATGGTACAGTGGACACCCACACATGCGTGCAAAGGTTTACAGCTTACATAAACTGATAAAAGTCATAGTGAGCTGAGTACTGAAACAAAACGCAGAGTCAAAGTGATGTATGCTTTCATTGTATACTGAGATTATCTATTATTCAGCTAGCTATCTACCTACCTTAACCAGGTATGCTATGGCATTGTATGAATGGAACGTTAACTTTTACAGATTGTATAGTGAATACAACAGACATAAGGCAGTAAATTTCAGACAACAAGATTATTATCATCCGATGATAACAAAAGTATGAACAATAATAATAATAAGGAAGTTATTTGGTTCATTCCGGGTTTAATCACCGACGGAAAATACTGATTTCGAAAAAACGGACTTTAGATGTGTAATAATAATAATAATCATACATGTTTTCCGTTAATTAGGCGAGCAAATAGTCTTCACAAGAAGAAAGTCCACCTAAATGTAGAGAAATTACTCCACCGCCTATACAGATAGATCATTACACAATGGGAGCTGGTAGCAGTCGACAGGAAGCCCTGGACCTAGTTTACGTGCATCATGGCACTCGTCACAGCAAGACGTATATGCAGAATCAGGGGAACTCATGTCCCTAATGGGATTTGAACTTGCGCCATCTAGTGTTGCATTGAGAAACGTTACTATAGAGATTTTTGGACTCACAATTTACCTAGGTGAAGGGATTTCTGCCCGCTGCTTCTAATCCACCTAACATCCAGTCAGAGTGCATAGAGATGGTAAGCCAACTAGTTTGGTGACGACTTTGCAAACTTGACTGATAGAATTCAGTCTGCACCAACACCAAAAACTTGAAAGGCATGACACCGGTTACTCCCCAGTGGCGTACACTTTGTTCACTAGCAATATTCAACCGAAGGATTCATAGAAAAACAAAAAACATGTTTTTGACATAATCAGCTGACAATTTTTTTTACTCTCTACTAATTTTTTTTATCACAAGCAATTTTTTCTGACCATTCTCAGGCTGAAAATTCTGTCGACAAACATCTGAGAAGTAATTCATCAGCATAATATTCACCTACCAAGAGAATCACCAACAAAAAACTATGGGAAGGAACAAACAAAACAAGAACCAATCGCCAACCAACAAATATACAGGTGAAAGTGGAGATGGATTGGACATTCGTTGAGGAGGTCGCTGGGTGACATCGCGCGTCAGGCCCTCAAGTAGAACCCGAAAGGGGAGCGGCGAGTGGGACGTCCAAGGGTGACATGGAGGAGACCCGACCGAAAGCTGCTACCTTGACGTGGTGGTCGGGCTTGAACACCGCAATGACCTAATCAAGCTATACTGGCTGAGACTTATGTCTCTTGAGGTCCTACCATGCCAGGCAGGTTGTTTGGATAGCGGTTAAACAAAAAGCAGCTACCCAATCCAACATCATGTCCAATACAAAATTTCATGCCGGATCGGCCGTGGCCCGGATTAACAACGACCGCGCTTCCTGCTGCCGTGTCACAGGGCGGGAGTGATAAATCTGCTACTGAGACACACCAAACAAAAAAGAACGAACAAAAACAGGCCGCGTGTGACCGGCCTCAAGCAGTTGTCCCCTGGGCTCTGCGGTCACGCAACCAACTTCCACGGTGTGGGCAGCCGGGAAGTAACAATCGCCCTCACAATCCGAAATGCACACGAAACCTCTCTATTACTCACTCATCTTTGTCTTCATCTTCATCTCTATCATCTTGCCTTCCTTCCACTGATGCAACTCCTCGACTTGATAGCTCTCCACTTCCTCTCCACTCTGCGTCCACTAAAAACGATGGAAGCCAAAAAACCACCACCGACAGCCTCTTAAAGCCGCGCCACCAATTTCATATAGGAGCTCTTAATGTTAGGACACTTTGCCAAA